GCAGAGCCCTCTACAGGGGGAATGCTCAAATATAGGTGTTGCTTATTTTGTTCGCCTGGGGACGGTGGTTCGATTATGTTTGAACATGGTGGTGCATTCTTTGGTTATTTTTTCATGCCCGGCCTACTTCCAGTCCCGAGGAGACGCAGGCACGGAGCGTGGCGAGCGAGTGAAGAGAGGGCGCCATCGCTAGCTCCGTTTCGGGAGGCACCCGTTCCCCGAGATCCGTGGATCCAGCGCCCACGCGCCAGGTCCACGGGAGTCGTCGTCCATGCCAGCGGGCGCTCGACAATCGCCAATGCCTCGCCGAGGGAAGGGCCTGGCTCCGCCGACCCGCCCAGGAAGGTTCGGCTTCGCCATCGGAGGCCTGTCGCCGATCCACCGAGGTTTTCGTCGGCGCTCGACGTTTACCCTCCAGGGCTGGTCCCTCCTTCTCGCCCCCCTCAGGGCCTGGTCGTTTGGCAGTTTTTGCGTTTTTTTTTGTTGTTGTTTTTTTTGTGTGTGTGTGTGTGTGTGTGTGTGTGTGTGTGTGTGTGTGTGTGTGTGTGTTTCTGTTGGGCGGGGGGGGGGGGTCCACGGTGCTCCTCGTCCACAAGGCTGGATGTCCGTTGAAACTCCTGTGCCAAAAGCACGACCGGAGGTCTTGAAACCCTGTGCCAAACGCGCGACGGGAGGTCCAGGGGTCGAGGTTTGAGGGAGGGGCCCTCCCATCTCAAGTCGCCCCCCCAAAAGATGTCACATGTGTGTTTTCCTCTCCTCGGCCTCCGGAGGCAGCCTCCCGGCCCTGAGACCGTCAGAGAGCCACTTAGGTTAAGTCGGGCCTGTCCCTCTGCAGGAGGGATATTCAAGAATAGTCAAAAAATAGTTTGGGGACGATTTGTTGACTACTCTTGACCATTCGGGGGTATTTTGGGTGTATTTCTATATTTCGCCAAAAATCCCCCTGTAGGGGGACAGGCCCGACCTAACACTTAGGATGAACATCTGGCCCCAGGGGAAAGGAAAAGCAGAGGCTACCGCCTCTCCTCCAGTCCAAATGTTCTCACCCTGTCAGTTTAAGATTAGCAGGCTGGACGATAGAAGTATGCGGATGCGACTGTTTGTCAGTGGTATTGGGCCGACGCCTCGTCAGTTGCGGAGCTCTTCTGAGCCAGACCGGTTTCTGACAAGGTGTGGGCAAAGAGTGTGGAAGCGTTGCCCCAACACGCACAGTGCCCCCACCCACTCCACCTGCCTCTTTCAGCCCCCCTCCTCCCGCCTCCCAACCTGCCTGCTCTTCCTTGCTCCGGCTGCTGCTGCTTCTCCTTCTCCTCCTCTTCCTCCACCTCGTCGTGCTAGCAACGCGCAGGGGTTGATTGTCCTAGCCAACGCTTCCTAATGGCCCCCCAGCTTAAAGTCCGAGTACAGCCTTGTCCTGCTCCCCCGCCTCCTAAGTCCGCGCCGCCTCCTGGCTCCTCCGTGAGTCCCTTTCCGATTGTTCAGCCTGGCGCCGTGGCGGCTGACGTTGACGAATCATAGTTTGGTGAGCTCCCGTCACCAGGAGGGAGGTGCACTTGGCGGTGACGGGGCGGCGTCACCTACGGGGCTGCGGTGCCGTAGGTGGGGTCGCTGCGTTTCCGTTTCGGCGCGCCTCTCGACTGGTTAGTTTGCATCTACGGTTTGGTTTTTTTATCGTGTACATTGCAGTCGGCTCTTGTGCGCGACGCGGGCTCGGCGCAGGCTCGGCGCGCATTCGACGTGGATCCGGCGCGGATTCGGCCAAGTCGACATGGATGCCACGCGGACCGCGGCGCGATGGGACAGACAAGGTCCTTTGAAGATGCATCAGAGGATCGGGCCACAACAGTCCAAGACACTCCTGTTTCTTACCCTTCCCCCGCTAACTCCCGCCCCCCCCGCTCTCCTCCTCCCCGCCCTGGCTGCCCCTGGCCGACTGGCGCCGAAGAAGAAGAAATAATTACCTACACGTAAACTTTTGGCGCCCCGCCCGGATTTCTTTGATCCGAGCTGGGCCCCCCCGGCGGCGCCTCCGGCGCCGCCCCTGGCGCGCGGAGCGCGCTTTGGGGTGGGGGATCCGCGCGGAGCGCCGAAAGTTTCTGTTTATGGCGATTTGTTTTTCTCATTTGGCAGCCCCGGCACCCGTATCTGTTTCAGGGCGGTTGGCCACTGGAGCCGGGCGCGTGAGAGCGGGCCCGAGGGGAGGTCACCCTCGAATGGTCTTAGGGTTTGGGGTGCTTTGGCCAGCGGAGGGTCTGATGTCCTTGAAGGATGTTATTTTGGCCTGGGTCCGACTGTACGATCTAGGCCGCCCAGACGGGGTCGGATAATTTCGCTACACCGCCGATGCATCGGCGATGCGGCTCGATGTGGAGCTCGACTGGATCCACGCCGACGTCGCCGATGCATCGCCGACGCCGCCGATGCATCACCGATGCATCGGCGATGCATCGACGGTGCGACGCTATCCTCCAGCCCCATCCACTCGGACCCTACCTGGAGAGCCTCTGAGAGTGGCCATGCGCCGAAGTGACCTTTGGTGCGCGGCTTTCGGGGGGACGGGGTATCTGGCGTGGCCGAGCCCAAGCGCGCGGGCCGCGTGTACCGTCGCACCACATGCGGCGGTCGGCAAGCATCGTACCAGTCACTCTTGCCTGGCACGTGCCCACAGATCCGATGTCTTGTCTCTTTTTTTCGCGACGTGGGCCACCGCAAGCCCCGACCCACTCACCGCAGGCCGGCTTTTCATCCTGAGCAGTTTTTGGGGCGGGCTTGCAACCCGAACAAGTTGTTCCCAGAGTTTGAAAGCTGCCAGCGAAATCCGTGCTGTTTTTCTCCCAGATGGTGGAGGTCCCCTCTTCTTCCTCCTGCCCGCCCCCTCCTCCCATTCCACAATTACACAAGATGAATACTAGTCTCCTCTCTCCCCTGACTCTGTCGGGAGAGTGTCCCGTCCTCTTCATTGTTATTACACATCGGATTCCATTATTGTGTTGTTTCCGATGTGTTTTTCGCTCGGGTTGTTTCTGGTTCTTCCAAAATGGTGTTCCCTCTGCAGCGCCGCCCTCATTTCCGCGCTTCGGTCATTCAGCATCGTGCTCCCGCTGAAGCGCTGGTCCCAGTCCCGCGCCTCCGAACGGCGCTTAGCATTCGAAAGCGCCCACATCGGGCAGGCACGGTTGCAGAGGACATGAAGCCGGCATTCCGGACAGGCCTTGTCGTAGACAGGCCATTTACCCTCCAAGTCATTTGGTGCCATGCCACGGCATGCAATGCGATGTTGTGTTGTGCGCCGTTGTGCGAAGCCACGTTTTGCGTTGCTATGCTTTGTGATGCAATGCTTCACTACGCAATGTCACGCCATGCTATGACATGCTATGCTCTGCCGTGCTCTTCTACGCCATGCTGTTCCATCCATCGCGTACCATCTTAGGATCATTGCCCGGCTAGACATCCGATTGAGCGAATGTATAGGAGATGTACGCCATGGTAGGGGATGGGTGGGAGGGGTAGGACGTCAGATGTGACGCTAACGCACATAGCTTGTCCTCCCCCCCTCCCCTGCCTCCCCCCTCCTCCTCCTCCGACGCCTCCTCACCTCACTTCACCCTTCCTGCCCTTCCTCCTCCCCTCCCTCCTCCTCCTCCTCCCCCTCCTCCTCCTCCCCCTCCTCCTCCTCCTCCTCCTCCTCCTCCTCCTCCTCCTCCTTCTCCTCCCCCTCCTCCCCTTCGTCCCCTTCCTCCCCTCCCCTTCCTTACCTCCGCCTCCCCTTCCTCCTCACCCTCGTCCTCCCCTTCCTCCCCTCCCTCCTCCCCTTCCCCTTCCTCCTCCCCCTTCTCCTCCCCTTCCTCCCCTTCCTCCCCTCCCCTCCTTCCCCTCTTCCCCATCCCTCCTCCCCCTCCTCCCCCCCCTGGCCCGCGCCGACCGCGAGAGTCTGCTTGTGCCGGCGCCGCGCCCCCCCCCGCCACGCACAGGAGTGCCTCCGCGCGGCCGCAGAGCAGCCCGGGTGCGAGTGGCTGGTGGAGGCCCCCCCGGGCCGGTCGGGTCGGCTGCCTGCACGCCAGGGGCGAGCAGTCCTCCCACACCTTTTCGAAAGAAGAGGGGCCACGGAGTCTCATGCCAGGGCCCCGCCATATATCCGCACGCCCCTGAAGCCTCGCCCCCGTCTGGATTAGAAGTAGACGGGGCCCGGGCGGATGGGGTCGGAGGGCCGTGCCGCATCGACGAGACATCGGCGATGCGGCTCCATGTGGAGCCCGATCTTTCTCCACGCCGACGGCGCCGATGCGTCGGCGACGTCGTCGATGCCTCGCCGATGCATCGGCGACGCGTTGGCGATGCGGTGCGATCCTCCGACCCCATCTACTCGGACCCCATCAGAGAGTCTTCGAATCAAGGCGGGGGTGAGGACTGCAGGGATGTGCGGATATGGCGGGGCCCTGGCATGAGACGTCGTGGCCCCTCCTCTTCTTTCGAAGCGTTCCCCGCTTCCCTCCCCCGTCCGCGCACATACCTCGGGCCCTGATGCGCTAAACCCCCTCTTCGGGGCACCCCATGGGGCAGCGTCGGCTTCGCGTGCGAGTCGGACCGTGGCAGGGGTGGTCACCCACAGGGGGCTGGCCAGCTCCTCCTGGAAGTTGAGTATGGACGGTTTCCCCCAGGGCCGTAGGCGACCCGAGGAGGGGAGGGCGAGGAGGGGGAGGAGGAGGGGAGGAGGAGGAGGGGGAGGAGGAGGAGGAGAAGGAGGAGGAGGAGGAGGAAGAGGAGGGAGGAAAAGGAGGAGGAGGAGGAGGAGGAGGAGGAGGAGAAGTACGGCTCGCCTAAGCCCTTCGGAGAAACCTTCCAGTTGAGTATCGAGGAGGATGGAGGATCGAAGATCGAGGAGTTAGGGACGTTTCCTGGTAGAGGTGGGTCCACGGGAGGGCTTCTCCTGGAGAGAAGGTGGCCCCCCCGTTTATGGTGGCCCCCCGTGACATTGTCAGGACGAGTGACCTTTCGCCAGGATGACCTTCGGTGCGCGGCTTTCGGGGGGCGTGGGGGGGGGGGGGGCGCGAGGCGGGGGGGGCGTGGGACGCGGCGAGGGCGAGCGGACAACGCGTTTGGGAAGCAGGCGGGCCGCGCTGGGACTACGAAGGGGAACAAGAGGGCGGCCGCGGAGGAGGACAAGAGGAGGAGTTCTTGGGCGTTGAGAATCTTCGCCGCGAGGAGTGCGCCGGCGGCCTCAAAAAGGTGTACGAAAAGGTGTGCAAAAAGGTGTGCGGCCAGACATCCCCAAGCAAACATACCGCTAACGTTCGGCGAACCGAGCACCAAGAACCACTCCTTGCACATGGGGCCACTCATGCGCGCATCTCACAGAGGGGAGGAGGAGACGTAGGAGGAGAAGGCGGAGGAGGAAGAGGAGGAGGAGGAGAAGGAGGAAGAGGAGGAAGAGAAGGAGGAGGAGGCGGAAGAGGAAGAGGAAGATGAGGGAGGGAGAGGGAGAGGGAGAGGGAGAGGAGGATGAGGAGGAGGTGCAGGAGGAGGAGGTGGAGGACGAAGAGGAGGAGGAGGAGGAGGAAAAGATCGTGCGCTGCCAGAGGTGGCCCCCGGCCCCCCCTGCGAATCCTTTGTGTTTGCTCGAGGAGGCCCCCTGGCGACCCCGGGCACCGGGCGCCTCGAGGCCATGCTCGGGGCGGCCAGGCTGTCCCCACGCTTGGCATCCAGGGGCTCATGTCTTGCTTTGTCGGGGGTGGACAGACCTCCTACCCTGACGCGTCGATTAGCGAATTGGCCGTTTTCGGCTCGCGAGAAAGCGTCGCGGCCGTCGTTTTTGCGGGTCCAGGTCCGTCGGTTTCGGTCCCAGGCCGTTTTCACTAAGGGGAGGTTTACTAAAGGGAGGTTTGCCCACCGCCGGTTTTGGCCCCCGACCCCGGCATCAGGCGCCTCGAGGCCATGCTCGGGGCGGCTGGGCTGTCACCACTTCGGGCCTCCGGGGGCTCGTGTTCTTCGTTCCGTGGCCATCGAGAACGGGAAGAGGGTGAAATCACGCTCCAAGGGGCAAACTCGGATCGCGATCCAGCTGTTCCAGGCCAGCCTCGCCCTGGGCTGGCCCGGGGCCGGCGTCCAGTGTCTCCTCTGTTTCCGTTTTCCGTGCCCAGGTTACCATTTTTTGTTTTTTTTCCTATCGCGTGTCTCTTCCTCTGCTCTCCTCTCTCCTGTCCTCTTGTTCCTCTCTCCTTTTCGTTCCTATGTCCTGTCCCTTGATTTCTGTCCTCTCCTCCCCCACCTCCTCTCTCCCCTCTCCTCTGTCTTGTCCTTGTGTGGTCCACGATGGGAGCCCTCGAGAGTCCCAAAGTTCCCTTCGGTCTGGGGGAGTACGTCTGGATTTCGACGGATTTCGTCGACAGTTGAACGGGATCTGGACGAAGAAGTGAAGGGGGGTGGTCGACATCTGGATGAAATCTGGTCGAATTCACGTTTGTGATAGGGCCGCGGAGGTCCATGGAGGCTCCGCTCATGAACGCTCACCCAGTTGTCCGTCATGCTCTCCTCTCTCCTCCCCTGTCAACCCTCTCCCTCATCTCCCCTCGCCTCGCTTGCCTTTCTAGTCTTAAGTCGGGTCCGTCCCTCTACAGGAGGAATATTCAAAAATAGTCAAAAATAGTATGGTGAATATTTGTCGAGTGGTTTTTGATCATGTTGGGGTCTTTTTTTGAACCTGTTTTATTTTTCGTCGAGAATCCCCCTGTAGGAGGACAGGCCCGACATAATTCTAGTCTCCTTCTTCCCCTTTTGCTCTGATCTTTGCCTCCTCTCCCCATCCCGCGGGATTGCAGGGTGGAGTGGAGTGGTGGTATCAAATGCAGTGAAATGGGTAGGAGACGGGTGAAGTGTAGAGGCATGCTCCTCTTCTCTCTCATCTCCTCTTCTACGGTTACCGATCCTGGGTTGAACGCCTCGCGATCCAATCTTTCGGTTGGGGGAAAACCCCGAAGGTCATTTGGATCGAGATCCAATGATTCCTGGATCGTGACTTCATTGATTCTCAGGCGCACAGGGCCCCATCGACTCCATCGTCGGCGGTGTGGTCGTCGTGGTGCGTGCCGTGCTGTTGTGTTCGGGCCATTGCTTACCTCATGCAGTGACCACTTGGATCACCGCTGGGGCGGCTGAGGGGGCAGGGAGGTTCTAAGGTGGGTCATATCTGGCCTTACCTGGTTTACAGGTGGGTTGCAAGTGCCCTACGCGGCTTACGTGGGGGGCAAGATCAGCGTTGAGTGGGCGGAGCCCACTTAGCAGAGTTACCTAAACGCTTGCAGCCACTCAAGGCATTTGTCGTTGGCATCCACTTAACTATAAGCCCCTCATCCCCTAAGCAGACTAGTTGGGATCCAAGCAATTTGAAAGTAGCAGAGTTCAGACACTGGCCCGCTCCTAGGCCCTCAGGAGAGAAAGTTCGCCCCTTCTTCCTCACCTCCTCCTCCTCCTCCTCCTCCTCCGTTTCCTTCCTCCTCATCCTCCTCGCCCGTTCCCTTCCTTGATTTCTCTTTCTCTCGCTCTCTCTCTCTCTATCTCCTCTATGGGTGGGACAATCTTCGCGCCGTGGGGCATGTGCCGTCGGAACGGGTGGTTGGGGGAGTTGGACGAGGAAGAGGAGGAGGAGGAGGAGGAGGAGGAGGAGTAGGAGGAGGAGGAGGAGGAGGGGGAGGAGGAGTAGGAGGAGGAGGAGTAATTAGGAGGAGGGGGAGGAGGAGGAGGGGGAGGAGAATGGAGGGGGACGGGATTGGGCAAGCTTGCTCAGGCGGCAGGCGCGCTCTCCTCTCTCTCTCTATCTCTCTCTCTCTCTCTCTTTCTTTCTTTCTTTCTTTTTTTCTTTCTTTCTCTCTCTCTCTCTCTCTATATATATACACATATATATATATATATATATAAATATTCCTCCCTCCCTCCCCGCTCGTGCGCGTGTCCTGGAGCTCCTCCGCTACCCTCGGGCGCTCCAGGGCCCCTCCCCGGCCCCCCCCCCCGGGGCCGTCCGCGGAGCGGTTCTCTGAGGCGGAGCGCCGGGGAGCCTGGGGAGCCCAGGGCCCGTCTCCCTCGGGGCCCGCCTCCCATCCTCCCCTCCGCCCCCATCCTCTTTTCCTCCGCCCCCATCCTCTTTTCCTCCTCCTCCTCCTCCTCCTCCTCCTTCCTCCTGCTCCTCCTGCTCCTACCTCCTCCTCCTCCTCCTCCTCCTCCTCCTCCTCCTCCTCCGCCTCCTCCTCCTCCTCCTCTCTCCCTCCTTCCCTCCCCGGAGGCCCAGGGGGGCCCAGGAGGAGGGGGGGCCCGCCGCGCGGAGGGAGGCCTACCACCTCATCGGCCGCGAGGACCTCGCTCTGCAGGCGCACGGCGAGCCGGGCTCTGGCGACGCGGAGGCGGCTGGACGCCGCGCAGTGTTGGGGGCTTCGTGCAAGGGCTCTGTTGCATCTTCGGGGGACCTCGCCTGTCCCAAAAATGGGTGTCTTTTTGGGGGCCCGACGCGTGCTCGATGCGGATTTGGCGTGGATTCGACGCGGATTCGACACGGATTCGACACGGATCCGACGCGTCCGGCATGGATTCGACACGGATTCGACGCGGACAGGGCCGCGACGGGACAGACAAGGCCCAGCGAGGATGCGACATAACAAGGGGGGGCTATCCCGAGGGGGGGCTTGGGGAACGGGCCCGGCCACACAGCGAGCGGCTCGAAAAAGGAGCACTTCCTCTTCAAGAGGGGCTCGGTCGTTCCCTGGGCTTGCACGCGTGATTTATCGTTCCTTACGCGTTATGCATTCGTTGTCGTTCCTTGTGCGTTCTTCCTGGGAGAAAAAAAGGGCTTTGTTTTTCATTGATCGTTCCTTAGAGCAGGCCGGTGACTGTATGTTGAGTAGGGCCGAGGGTCAGAGAGTGCCTTCCTCTGCAGGACCACCAAAAAGGGACGTCAAGGTGGTCAAACGCTTCGCCGATGAAGCCGACGAAGAGATTCAAAATCCAACCATTCGCTTCTGTCCACATGTTTGGCTTGACGCCGGGTGTGGTGCATCAGTTTCAGCCTGACCGAACAGGTTGGTTGGGCCCCTTGACGTCCGTTTGGGGCGTTCTGCAGACCGGACCCCCCAGCCCTACTCAAGCCAGATGCTCCCGCTGAACGCGCGTCCGTCTTCCAGGGGCCGTCCGGAGCGATTTTCCCGCCAGCCCCACCTTGGCCCCAGTACAGTCGGGGCGCTGACTAAGGAACCCTTTTCGTTGGGGAGGGGCTCCGCGTTCCTTGAGTGTTTCGCAGCTTGCCTCAGTTTTTCCCTTTGTTTTCGATCGGGAATCGAAGTTTAACTTAGAAGTTCAACTTATGGAAACAAGAGGCCTCGTTCCGTATTTCGGGTTCCTTAGGTCCACGCCCCGACTGTAGACCACCTTGGTGCCCCCCCCGATAAATGGAGTGGCGATCCAGGGGGGGGGGGGGGGGCAGCAGGGGCTGCAGAGAAGGGGCCCTGCAGGCCCCTCAAAGGGAGCCTTCAGGGTCCGAAAGGGGGCCGAGGAGGAGGAGGGATGAGGAGGAGGAGGAGGGAGGAGGAGGAGGAGGAGGAGGGAGGAGGAGGAGGAGAGGAGGAGGAGGAGGAGGAGGAGGAGGAGGAGGAGGAGGAGGAGGAGGAGGAGGAGGGCCGCCTGCACGGCCCCTCAAAGGGAGCCCAGGGCCCGAGAGGTGCACCTTTCTTCTCCCCCCCCCCCGCCCCCCATTGATCGCGCCCCCCCCCCAATTAAGCGACGCCCCAGGCGGGCGACGCCCTCGGCGGCGCCGGGGACCTCGAGGACGTCGGGGCGGACGAAGCGTCCGCCGGCGGAGGGAAACCGGCGTAAGCGTAAGGCGGGCATGGCCCTCTATATGAGAAAGATTCAAGGATTGTGAGAAAATGGTCTGGCGACGATCTGTCGTGCTCTTTTAACTCTTTTTGATTTTTTGCTTGTTTTTTAAATTATGTTTTGATTTTGCCTTCCAAGATCCGCCTGTAGAAGGACAATCCCGACCTAAGCGTAAGCCTACATCTTCGGTGGTCCTCGCAGATTTCTTGGATCTGCCCTGTCTGGCGCCGCTGCTCGCGTGCGCCGCGCACCAGGGAGGTGAATCCAGCGCAGGTCCGAGAAATCTGCGCGGGCCGTCGAAAGTTTATGTGCATGGCGTCATGTCATCGCTTCGCTCATTCCGCCGGCCCGTACTGTGCCCTCGTTGGCGTTGGCCTGCGCGTTCGTGGGCCATGCGGCGCTGCTGGTCGGCGCTGCTGCGGTTGTGGGTGAGAGTCCCCATGGATGGTTCTTAGTGTCTCTTCGGAGGGTGTTCGGGGGGCTCGTATGGGGAACTTATCGGGGCGCTTGGGGGCCTCCTGGGGGCGACTCGGATCCCTCTTGGGGCTCTCTTGGCGCCTCTCGGAGGCCTCTGAGACCTCTTGGGGGGCTCTTGGGGGCCGCTTGGAGCAGCCTGGACGCCTCTTGGGGCCGTCATTGGGCTCTCTCTGTCCGTCTTGGAGGCCTCTGGGACCGTCTTGGGGCCCTGTTGGGCCGTGGTGGGGTTCTCTCAGAAGCCTCTTGGGCTGTCTTGGGGCGATCGTGGGGGCTTCTAGGGCGGTCTCGGAGCGTGGGGCAGCCGAAAAGGCGAGAACGCGGCCGAAAAGGTGAGAACGCTGAAAACCTTCAAAAACTAATCGAAAATCATTGAATGTTGCCTCTACAGGGCGTCTTGGGAGTGGTGTTGGAGACGTCTTCGGCGTCTTGGAGGCGGTTGAAGCCGTCTGCAGGCTACCTTGGGCATCTTGGAACGACTTCCGGTGACTCGGGGCCCTCCTTGACCGCCTTAGGAGCCTCTTAAGACGCTCTTGGAGACCCTGAAAGCAGCTCTCAGGAGTTCCGGCATTCGTGGCGGCGCCGCCGCCTCATTTCGGCACACCCCTCACACGTTTCGCGCTCCCATCGAGAGCTCCAACTGAGGCCCACTCGCGAGGGGCAGCATGACGGCGCCGCTTCCTCTCGGCACACCCGTCGCACGTCTCGTGGCCGCACACGGAGCCCCAGCTGGGGCCCAAATGACGGGGTCCGCATGGCGGCGCCGCTCCATTGCGGCACACCACTCGCACGTTCCGCACAGCGGAAGCCCTGGCAAAGGCCCAAACGCTAGGGTCCGCATGGCGGCGCCGCCTCGTTTCGGCACACCCATCACACGTTTCGTGGCCCCACAGGAAGCTCCAGAAGCCCGACCTCGACGGTCCGCATGGCGGCGGCTCCTCATTTCGGCACGTCAGGGAGTGAGTGGTTGACACGCTTCTTGGCCCATTTGGAGACCCAGCGAAGGCCTCCACAGCAGTGTCCGCATGGCTTACCCACTCTCACTTCTCGCGCACTTCGGGGCCCCATAGGGGGCTCCACAGAAGGTCTAGTGCCAGTGTCCGCATGGCGTACCTGCCCCAAATGCGGCTCACCCTTCACTCGCTCCAGGAGATGCGCGCCAATCCGTAATTTTGCTCACCACCCTCATTTGCCTCGCGGTAGTCGCGGCTTCTCATGTATGGGCCCTTTGTCAGGATAATCTTTCACGACCCAGACCTTCGGAGGTCTCGATCTGTTCCCCGAGACCGGCTTTTCATCCCGAGTCGGTTCTTGACTGTGCTATGGTTGGCCTACCGAGGGCACCCCAGAGACCGAACACATACACAAAACACAAGTCCCGTCATAGTTGTTCCACGACGCGAGGGGGGTTGGGGGCTCGCCAGTGGTCGCATCAAAGTTCAGGCGATCGCAAGCATGGATTGAGGGGTTTAGCTTAGCGACGGGTCCCGTTTCTGTGGGACATCGCGGATTTCAGCCGCCGAGCGAGGCAGCACCGGCCGCATCTTGGGGAGGGCACCTCCCCCGATCCGTGGATCTGGCGACCGCGCGCCAGATCCATGGATCGCTAATCCACGCTTGCGCGCTCCCGAGAATCGACTAGACGTAAGAGTGACCTTCCGCCGGAGTGACCTTTTGGTGCGGGCACAGATGGGCCCCCAGATGGCTGAACGCGAAGCGGTAGCAGCGGCTAACGCGCCTGGATTTGGCCTCCCCGCGGCCCTTCGCTTCTGGCCGCGCCGCCCTGCTTGTCGCAGCGCCCGTGGCAGGATGCCGCCGGCCTCGACGACCCGCTGGGCCCCTCGCCGAGCACGGACCCGCTGGCGTCGGCCGAGTGGCTGTACAGGACCGCCAAACCGAGATGTCGGCGGCGCGCCCCGGTGGGCGGGCAGAGGCCGCGGGCCTTCTCGGGAGGCTCCGAAGACCTCCCCCCCCTCCTCCTCCTCCTCCTCCTCCTCCCCTACTCCTCCTCCTCCTCCTCCTCCTCCTCCCCCTCCTCCTCCTCTTCCTCCTCCTCCTCCTCCTCCTCCTCCTCCTCCTCCTCCCTCCTCCTCCTCCCTCCTCCTCCCCCTCCTCCTCCTCCTTCCCTCCTCCTCCTCCTCCGCCTCCGCCTCCTCCTCCTCCTCCTCCTCCTCCTCCTCCTCCTCCTCCTCCTCCTCCCCCTCCTCCTCCTCCTCCTCCTCCTCCTCCTCCTCCTCCTCCTCCTCCTCCTCCTCCTCCTCCTCCTCCTCCTCCTCCTCCCCCTCCTCCTCCGCCTCCCCCCCCTCCTGCTCACCCTCCTTCTCCTCCTCCTCCTCCTCCTCCTCATCCTCCTCCTCCTCCTTCTCCTCCTCCTCCTTCTCCCCCCCCCCTCCTTCTCAGGACGCCGCTGGCCTTCTGGGAAGCTTTTTATAGCCTCCTCCGAAGCCGCAGAGGGCTTCTCTCAGAAGGCCAGAGGGCTTCTGAGAGCAGCCCTGCCGCCTTCTGAGAATGCCCGCCCCGTCGGCCTTTCTCCCCCCGGGCGCGCCGCCGAGAAGAGTCCTCGAGGGTCGAGGCTCGAGGTTTCGGGGCCTTGTGTTACCCCGTTTCTGAGCAGGGTCCATTTCCATCCGATCCGATATGTATTCCGGCCAGCCCGAAACATCGAGGTTCCCTCCGACCCGAGCGTCGCAACACATCGCGACGGCAGCTTTTGTCCGAGAGTTGTGCCTCCTTGGGCCGTCTCCGAGCTCTTGGACGGCCCACAAAAGTTCAAGGATGCAACGTCGGTGCCTGGGCCCACGCTGCAAAAACAGATGCGTCGTCGGAGGAGAGGGTTCGAGGATCGAGGCGCGGCGTCTCTTTCAGGGCCCCCCGCCAAGCTCTTCTGGTGTCTCTAGTCCGCGGCCCCAGGCTTCCTTACCCCTTCTCTGGAGGCAGCTGTTCGTTCCGGGGGTCGTGTCCCCTTGCGTCCTGCTTCAGTGGAGGTCCTGCTTTCTCTGGACACCCCGCGCAGGAACACACCCAGGCACACACACACACACACACACCTCGCCCTCTCCTCCTCTCCCCCCATCGTTCACACTCACGATCACCATCACATCACCACCATTTCTAGAATCTCAATACCATCCTGATCATCGACCATCTCCATCATAACCATCATCACCATCACCATCATCATCAGCATCACCGCCAACGTCATCATCATCATCATCATCATCATCATCATCATCATCATCATCATCTTATTCAGCAACATCATCATCGTCATATTCATCATCATCATCATCATCATCAGCATCATCATCATCAGCTTCAGCATCACCAACGTCATCATCATCAGCATCATCATCAACATCATCAGCATCATCATCGTCATGATCGTCATCGTCATCGTCATCGCACAGACTATTTCACTCACACCCGCACTCCCGCGTCCACATTCACACACACACACACACTCACACACTCCTCCCGCAGTCCGCACTCACTCGCACGCTCACTCACACACTCACTCACGCACTCACATTGAGGAAGTTTCGAGCCTCGTCTGTGAGTCACTTGGAGGGGTCTCCCAGGCGGGAGCCCCCTCCTTATGGGTCCCGCACTTCATGCTAGCAACCCGAGGTTGCCATTCAGAAACATGTAAATAGACACACGGCTTCGTGAACATCGAGTCGCCAGAATCCCATCCTCGGTGCTGATTCCAATTGTCCGAAGCCAGCTGTAGGCCATGTCGTGCTCTCCGAGATCCCAGAGCTCAACTGCCAGGCCTCATTGTGCATGCCCGGAGCTAACCGTCAGCCGCTTCGGGCGCGTCGTGATCACAGGACTCCCTTCCTGGGGCGGAGTTTGCACGTCCAGTACGAATTGTAGGCCACATCGGGCTCTTCGTGCTCCCAGAGCTCCTGTCCTGGGGCTCCTGCTGAGTAGTGCCCAGGGCAAGCTGTAGGCTGTATGCCACTTCGGGTGCTTCATGCTTCCCGGATTTCATGTCCAACGCTGCCTTCGAGTGTTTGGATCCAACTGCACGGCACTTCTGGCTCTTCGTGCTTCCAGACCTCCACTCCTGGGACTGATCTCGAGCGTCCAGAAATAAGTGTAAGCCACTTTGGGTTCTTTGCGACCTCAGAATGTCGCTCCTGGTGTTGATTTCGGGTTCGCATCCTGGCACCCCTCGCATCCCATTGGTGTCCTTGGTGTCCCTAACACCCTGGCACCCTGGCATCCTGCCACCCCTGGCACCCAGGCATAGGCCCAGCAATCCTGGCAGTCTTTGAGGTCCCACATGCCCCGCAAGTCGCATACGCCCAACAGGTCGCACAGATCCCACACGCCTCACACATTTCAAAAGTCCCTCAGGTAGCACAGGTCGTAAAATTCCCGCAGGACAGAAGTCCCGTACGCCGCACAGGTGGCACTGGTTGCACAGCTCCCACAGGTCGCACAAGTCCCACATGTCCCACAGGCCTCACAGGTTCCAAAGGTCGTACAGTCCCAAATGTTTTTCAGGCCCCATAGGTCCAGGATGTTGCTGGCCTCCTGGCAGCCTGGCACCCTAAATTTGCTTGCTGATGCTGGAATGTTAGCTGGCGTGGGCCCCGGACAGTGTGTTTCCGGCAACATATGTGGGGCAATTTCTGTGATGCAGTATCTGTGGTGCAGTGTATGTGGTGCAATATACGTGGTGTTGTCTATGTTGTGCAGTCTTTGTGGTGCATATTATGTGGTACAATCTAGGTGGTGCAATTAATTTCTGTTCGCAGTGAGTTGTCCAATCCACCGCTCGCGCAAGCATCCCACTTACCCACCCGCAAATTGGTTAGCAAAATCTCTTAAGACCGTGACGGTGGGTACCGATTGGCACTTGGCAACGACAGCGACGCCGACGACGACAGCGACAACGACTACGACGACACCGACGACGTCTCCAACGACTTCGACGACGCCGACAACGACGACGACGACACCGACGACGACGACGACGCCGCCGACGACGACGACGACGACGACGATGACAACGACGACGACGATGACGACGCAGACGACGACGACAACGACGACACCGACGACGACGACGTCGTCAACGACGCCGACGACGACGACGGCAACGACGACTGCGGCGACGACGACGACGCCGACGTCGACGACGACGAAGACGACGACGATGCCGACGCCGACGACGACGAGGACGACGACGACGTCGCCAACGAAGACGACGACGAGGGAGGAGGGAGGACGACGACAGCGACAACGACGACAACGACGACAACGACGAGCGAGGAGGGAGGACGGCGACGACGCGAACGACGAAGAAGGATTAAGGACGGCGACGCCGACGACGACAACGACGAGGGAGGAGGGAAGACGACGACGACGACAACGACGACGATGACGACGTCGACGACGGCGACGAAATAGAAGGGACGACGACGAGACGCCGACGACGGACGACGACGACGAGGGAGGAGGAGGAAGGACGACCACGGCGACAACGACGACGGAAACGACCACGACGCCAAAGAGGACGACGACGACGACGACGAACACGAGGAAAGACAGAGGACGACGTAGGCGACGACGACGACGACGCGGGAGGAGGAAGGACGGCGACGACGACGACGACGACGACGACGCAAGAGCGCGCGCACGCTTTTGTTGAAAATCCGTGTTGCGAAACCTTGTGTTTTTGTAGGTTTTTTGGACACCCGATTTTGAAGTCCTTCCGAAACCGATGGGTTGTGAAGGATTTCGGCATACGCGCGCGACAACGCGCGCGTCTGCACTTCGTCCCATTTTTTGCAGAGGATTCTCACGACGGCACACGCGCAAGGGCGTTCGACAGATTTCGACATGCGCGCGCGCGAAGCCCGTTTGGTAGCATTTTGTGAAAATCTTGAAAAAAAAAACGAGTTTTTTTTCAGAATTCGCAAGAGCTCGCGCGTAGGCTTTTTTAGCAAATCAGTGTTGCGAAACCCTATCTTTTAATCTTTCCGACACCGAAGGTTTTTGAAGGATATTCGGCATGCGCGCGCGACGACGCGCGTGTGTGCACTTCTAATGTTGTGCAAGGGATTCGCGAAAAAGTTTTATGTTAGAACAAACCATGTCCCCGCGTATTGTTTTTTACTAGGGAACCTCAGGGGAACTAATGCTGGCCCCCCTGGGATAGTGAAGGTCTCTATTTAGGATGGACCTGTGGTCAGAATCATAAATGATTCACGTACCCGAAAGGGGGGCGGATACCGCCGGGGGGGTTGAGTCTATTCTCTTTTTAGAAAGGAGAATGCAGGACGTGCGTTGTATGTTTGGCAGTTTATGAGGTGCAATATACGTGTTGCATTCTACGTGGTGCAATCTATGTTGTGCAATGTCCGGTCTGTGCTGCGCATTCTATGTGATACAATCTAGTTTGCGCGAGTTACACGTGGTGCAATTTGTGTGGTGCAATCTTTGTATTGCAACCTATGTGTTGCAAACGACGTGCGGCGACGGGGCGGCAACACACCCAGGCCAGAAGGCGGGAGGCGACGATGCGGGACGGGGTGGAGACGACTGCAACATAGCCGCCAGACCGCCTCCCAGGCCCAGTTCCTGATATTGGAAGTGATAGCTCTTCAGTGCAAGCACTGATTGGGAAAAGGTGACGCAAAGCAATGCACAGCCCCAGCAATTCACAGCAATGCGTTGCAACGCAAAGCAATGCGAAGCAATGACAGCAATGCAAATCAAAGCTAAATAACGCCGAGAACATCAACGCAAAGCCATGCGTAAGGTGGCAGTTGTGTTGCAACATCTGTGACGCACTACCTGTGGTGTGGGCGATGTGATTTACACCATGTCGCGCCATTGCAGTGGTCAGACCCAACGTACTCATATATATATATATATGTAAATTTGTATACATGAATAGTAATGCGTTGTGAGCTACGTGGGCTATGTCTTGCAGCCGATGTGGTACGAGCTAGCCTACCCATCTATGTGGTGCAAGCTATGTGGTACACTCGATGTGTTAGGATCAAACGTCCTCGTCCATGTGGTGAGAGCTATTTCGTATAAGCTATCGGTGTAAGCAGGCGGCTGCACTCGACTGCATTGTGTGGCGTAAGCTGTGTGGCACAAGCTATGTACTAGAAGCGGACGTGCTCATCTATGTGGTGTGAGCTATATGGTGTAAGATATCTTGTGCGATATATGCGCTAAGAGCTACCGTACGCATCTATGTGGTGTGAGTTGTGTGGCGCCAGCTCTGCGGTGCAAACTATGTGGTGTAATCTATGCGCTGCAGTCGAATGCAATCGACTGGGATGCAAGCAATTGGATCGCAATCAGTCGATTGATTTGCAATCGATAATCTTGCTGTCGATTCGATTGTGATCGATTGGATGCAACGGGGGGGGAAAACAGGGCGGCTGCAACAGGACAGGGTTGCGACAACATAGCCACCAGACGGGCGGTCAGGTCCAGACGACGGGCGACGACGAGGCGGCGACGGGGCGTCGACGGTGACAACCTAGCTGCCAGACTGGCTGTCGGGCCCAGTCACGGGCGGCGACGAGACGGCGACGGGGCGGCGACGGCGGCAACATAGCCGCCAGGCTGGCGGGCAGGTCCAGTTCCTTAGAACAGACGTAAAAAGCCCTAGGTGCGACCATTGTTTGGGGAACTCATGAAGGTCATCTGGATTAACATTTCAAACCTTTGGATGTCTCCAACAGCTGGATTCTCCTCGAGATCGTGGTCATCCACAGGTCGGGATCGAGAGGGGTTGGGCGCGACGCCAATCTCATCGGATCCTGGCTGGGTTTGGAGGGTCCTGGGAGTGGGGAGGGCAGAAGCGCTCGTTTCCCCTGCTCCCGCCGCCTTGAGAACACCGGGGTGGGAAGCAGGTGACGCATTGCATTTTGCTACTTCTTCGGGGTGATCCAAAACAACTCCGGATGAGAAGCCTCTTCAGGGTGTCGACACGTCCGGAGAATAGATGGAGACGTCGGGGGGGGGGGGGGCCACGCTGCGAAACAATCGGAACCCAGGCAAAGCGGTTTTGCAGTAAGGGGTTCTTGCATTTCGAAGCGTCGCTCTCGGGCCCTGGGGCCCTCGCCCACGGCTGCCGCAGGGAGCCGCACGCTGCGCTTGCCCCTCACGGGCCAAGAGTTCGCGTGCCGGCTCGCCGTCTGCAGGTTTGCGCTCGCTCGATTCCGGGCGTGTGCTTACAGTCGGGGCCCTGAAGAAGGAACCCTTTTGGTTGGGGAGGGGCTCCGCGTTCCGTAAGTGTTTCACAGCTTGCCTCAGGTGTTCCTTATGTTTTCGATCGGACATCGAAGTTAAACTTCTGGAAAAAGGGGCCTCGTTCCTTATTTAGGGTTGCTTAGGTCAACGCCCCGACTGTACGCTGCATGCGATCGATCACGCTCGCTCGTTGCATCACGACAAAGAACTTGGCTCGCCGGACGCCAGACAACTTCTCCATGAAAACCCGATCCTAGGGGAAAGCCCTAGTTTGCAGTCCAGGCGCAGGTACTGGGGTCAGCTCTGACGAGGTCCAGCGACTCCTCTCTGATCGGGTCCTGGTCTGGGAGCTATATCTCGTGGCTGACCCGTGCTTGCGACATGACCCAGGAGGGAAAACACACACGCAGACTCAATGAATTGTCGATGCCCCAGCAAAAGTGGGAAACCATGTGGGAAGTGGGGGGGAAGACGAACATCCAAAAACTATGGACAAATATTTGGACTCCTCGGCTTCGTGTGTGTTTCTTCGCGTGTCCCTAGGCCCCCTTCAGCGGCCCCCTGCCCTGGCCCGCGCTGCCCGGGGGCCGGCCCGTCCCCGATTGCAGGACCCGCTCCCAGACACTGCACGACGTGGGTCTTCACTCGGGCCGGACGAAAGGGGGGGATTGGGAAAGGGGGGGGTACGAAATTTGCTGCGTGCAGCTGGTTTCGGCCTCACCGAGGGGCCCATTCCTCGATACATAGCCGCCTCTGGCGCCGGGAGGCGCCGGGAAAATCAGCTACGTGAGGTGATTCTCAAACCCCCCCTTTGCTATCCCCCCCTTTCGCCCGGCGCGATTCACTCCACCAGTCTCGGTGCCTCCACCCAGGGGCAGCAAGACACTTATCACGCAGTGGCGCAGCGTCCTGCCTCGCCGATAGGCCCACCGAGCAGTATTCTGGGAACCTTTTTGTGGATTCCACGGCATGTTCTAAGAACATTACTTGTTTTTGTTATTGGGACATTTTGGGATTCTAAGAACATTTCGTGGTAGGACTATAGGAATGCCGGGACGTTCGGCCCCTGCTCAAATGTATGCCTTGTATTTCCCTAATCAGTGCTTGCGCTGAAGGGGACCTAGCGGAAGTTGAAAGATTTGGCGAAAGTTTCCCGCCGATTCTGGTAGCAGGTTTGGTTCCCGAGTTCCTGGTTCCGGGTTCCCGGGTTCCCGGCTGATCTATTTATCGATCTCTTTATTGATCCCAGTTCAAACCATCCACAGATTGGGGTCTTGTTCTGGTGTAATGTTATTTCTTGTCGTTACCTCCCTGGGTCAGGATGGGGCACTTTGCGCGCCTGCTTCCTTCCTTGAATGTGGTTGCCGTTTCTCAGGCCCCCTCTGCGGAGTCGAAACATAATTCTCCGTTGCCCGTCATTGCCACGGTAGTCCAATATTCCCCAGATCCACCTTGGATGGTCCAGAGGCTCAGAAATTGCCCCTGTCGGTTGAGGGACATCGCCCATATTGAACAAACGTGTATGGGTTTCCACCAGGACCCGATCCCGTGTCGCCGACGTGACTTTGGTCAGGACGTGGAGCCCCGTGGATGTCGACCCGTTCCCTGGGACTGGCTTCTTCTTCTGTATGAGTCGTGTTTTGACGGCCCTGCGTGTCCTGTACAAGGGTCCCCCGATGGCCTGACATTGTCTACTAAATTGCCTGGTGTGCTTGTTTGCGACGAGACTGGCTCTGGGCCGTCGGAGAAGAACAACGATACAGCTAATCACACCTCGTTCCCGCGTCCAGAGAAGAACAATTCGACCAGGAGGTCGGGAGGGAGGAGGCGCTTGGAGGCAATGGGGATGATTGACCGCGACGAGACACTATCTGACGATGCAGGTTGCGATTGGTGGTTGGCTTTGGCGTGCGACATTTGCACATGGGAGGGTATAGAACACAAGTTCATGCAGTACAGTTGAGGCCCATGCCAAGAAATACACTGCTTGCCTCCAGGGTGTTCTGGGTTTCTGGGTGTTCGATGGCTTTGCGATGGAAAGCGTGACGTTCCCACACCAAAAGTCAAGGGACGTCCTCGGGTCTCGGGCTTGGGTTTCTTGTGGAAGGTTCCTAGTGGACTGGCCTCCACCGTATAGAACCCAAGTTCATGCAGTACACTGTGGACCACCACCGCAGACGCACCCGAGAACTGATGCTCCAGCCACCCCCCCCCCCCCCGCGCAGGCCCACGCGGGCCCCGCCCCGGCGGCACCGCGCGCCTCGCCTCGCCTCGCCTCGCCTCCGCCGCGCCTCGTGCCAGCACAGGACCTTCGACCAGGACCGCAGGGCGAAGGAGGTCGCCCGCCTCCTGAGCTCGGCGCGGCCTGTGACCCTGCGTGTCGCGAGGCGCCCGGGGGTCGTCGCTCTGCTGCAAACCGCTTCCCCCGCAGCAGGAGTGGCCCCTCGCCGGAGTCACCTTCGGTGCGGGCCCACGCGGGCCCCCCGAGATCCCGGAGTCACAGTTTTTGACGCCCCCCGAGATCCCGGCGTCGCAGTTTTTGACGCCGGGCGCTGTCGCCGGGTTCTCGGGTCACGGGGACCCTCGGGGACCCCCACGGGAGCCTCGCCGGCCGGAGGAGGATGCCGCAGCAGAAAGGTGTGGTTCGAGGCTCCAGTCGTCAAGCAGTGGCGAAATGTGTTGGCGTGCCTATAGGCCTACCAGACTATGTTCTGAGAGCCTTTTGTGGTCTCCACGAACTGTTCTTAGAACACTTCTGGCTGGGACCGTCTTGTTTTAGCACATCGGGTTCATGTTCTAAGAAGTTTGTATGTGTTCTTTGAACACTTTTGGGTTCTAGGAACACTTCGTGACTATAGGAATGACCGGAGTGACTATAGGAATGACCGGACGGTCGGTCCCTGCTCAAAGTCGCGGCATGCCACGATATTGCATTTGTCCGCGACGTCGCAGCTCAGGGGCGGGGCCACCCGATCGCTGAAGGTGATCCGATGGCAGCGGCTTGATCGAGTGGCTCTGGCCCAGCCACTGCCCGCGCGAAGCCGCGCACGATGGGTCCTCTTGCCTATACAGGGGGGGGGCCATGCCAAGAAACACCCTGCTTGCCTACAGGGTGCCCTGGGCTTCTTGGGTTTTCGATGGGATGGGCAGCGTGACGCGCCCACACCAAAAATCAGTGGACGCCCTGGGGTCTCGGGGTTGGGTTTCTTGTGGAAGGTTTCTTGTCGGGTGGCCTCCACTGCATAGGGTCACTGCTGCGTGCAGCCTGCTATGCCATCCTGCCGGGCGGGGAACCACTCGCATCTTCGGACATTTGAGCGACGCAGAGAACCAGGGTCGTTCGCGCCGTCATTGGCGCGTGAGCTGCCCGCGCAAGGTCGCGCATGAGCGCCGCCGTTTTCAGCGTCGCGTGCCGCGCTGGAGGTCCGTGCTTGCTGCGTCGCGTAAGGTCGCCGTGCCGTCTCGCGTAAGACCCGTGTCTGTTCGTCGCTCACTTGGTGCCGTCCGCCCTGAGACTGGGTGTTGCCAGACGTACCCCCTGGCCCAAGGTGTTCTCAGGATTGCCAGGGAGGTCCTCACGGCCTCCGCAGCGCTCCTCCCGAGGCCCAGAGGGCCCCAGGGGCTCCGGCATGGGGCGGAACGCTGGGCGCACCTGTTGGGCCAGGGGTATACCTCCAGCAGTAAGTCGGGCATGTCCCCCTACAGGAGGAATAGTACAACATAGTCAGGGGGCGTTTCTTTTTTATACGTATATATACACACTTATTTATCTAAGTGTGTATATATATATATATATATATACACATGAACAAAACATATGATCAAACTACGACTCTTGACTACGCTTGCATATGGTTGTGGACTATTTTGCATTCCGTCCACAACCCGCCTGTGGGAGGACGAGCCCGGCCTAAGGAGGATGCCTCTGGCAGCCCCGGGCGAGCGAGGCACACGGAGCACACGGACCACGACTTCGAGAAGGCCAAGCAGGTGCGCCTGGGGCGCGCGGTGGGCCGCCAGGCGGCGTTGTGCGTCGGGCGCGGCGCCTTCACGCTGGGCGCCGTGGCGCCCCTGCCCACGGAGCTGCTGCAGACGCCGCGCCCCCGGACCTCGCCGCGGCGGCCCGACGGAGGAGCAGGTGTGGTGCCGCTCCTCCTCCTCCGCCTCCCCCTCCTCCGCCTCCCTCTCCCCCTCCTCCTCCTCCTCCTCCTCCTCCTCCTCCTCCTCCTCCTCCTCCTCCTCCGCCTCCTCCTCCCCCTCCTCCTCCTGCTCCTCCGCCTCCTCCTCCTCCTCCGCCTCCTCCTGCTCCCCCTCCCCCTCCTCCGCCTCCGCCTCCGCATCCTCCTCCCCCTCCTCCTCCGCCTTCCTCCGCCTCCTCCTCCCCCCCTCCTCCTCCGCCTCCTCCTCCTCCTCCTCCACAATTACTCAATATGAATATACTCTCCCTCTTCCCCTGATGGCGTCCGGGTGATGGCCGCGCACCCTCCGCGTACTGTTTTTTTACACACAGGATCCCCGGGAAATCCCGGGAAACGACTCTCGCTGAGGCGCCGGCGTCATTTTTTCCCAAAATGCTGCTCTCGTTGAGGCGCCGGCCTCATTTCTGCTCCCGAATCGTTCCGAATCGTGCTCCCGCTGCAGCGTGGGCCTCATTTTCGGATCGGTGTTTGGCCTCCGTCGTTCAGGATGGCGTTCTCGCCCCAGCGCGGGCCTTTTTCTCGCGCGCCCATCCGCCCGCCACCACCGCGCCGCACCGCCACCACCACCACCACCACCACCACCACCACCACCACCACCACCACCACCACCACCACACAACCACCACCAGCACCACACCACCCACCACCACCACCACCACCCACCACCACCACCACCACCACCACCACCACCACCACCACCACCACCACCACCACAACCACGCACACACGCACGCACGCACGCACGTGCACCACCACCCACTACGCACGCGCGCGCGGAGCCACAGGTCCGCTACGACACGCGTCCGCGGATAGAGAAAATCAGCGCCATGGTAAGGGATGGGAGGGAGGGGTAGGACGTCAGATATGACGCGCGCGCACCTAGCTTGTCCTCCTCCCCCTCCTCCTCCTCCTCCTCCTCCTCCTCCTCCTCCTCCTCCTCCTCCTCCTCCTCCTCTTCCTCCCCCTCCTCTACAGTCGGGCCGAGGTAGAAGATCGAGGCCACTTCGGGGAGGGCACTCTGATGTTCTTCGTGCTTGTTGGGTGCTCTTGTGCGTCCTCGGGGAGGATACCCTTGGATGTTCTGTGTGCTTTGGCTGGCGGAGGGTTTCACGTTCTGGAAGCATGCTCTTCTGGCCTGGGTCCGACTGCACAGTCAAGACGTTGCAGTAAGGACCACCTTGGGCTCAGGAGGGGCTTTGATTTCCGCGCCGCTCTTCAGATTCAGGCAGGGGAGCTTGTTCGTGGCCGTGGCTTGCCGATCACACAACAGCCCTTCCGTTCCCTGCGTGGCGTTCCTTATGATAGCACGATGGCGGTACAGCCCCAAAAGTGGGAAAGTGAGAGGGTGCGGGCTTTCTCTGCAGGCTCGGAAGTTCCCTGGCCCTTGAGGAGCTTTCCAAGCTTTCCCTGAAGACATAGGACACTTCTCAGAACCCTGGAGGGCTTATGCGAACCCTGAGATCCTTCTGCAATTGTTTCACAACCGGCGTTGTCGCTCAATTTCGGCCCCCAGACCCTCACAGATCGATCCAGCTCGAAAAAAATGTCGCAGAATGATGGGGTCGAGGGTTCCAGGCGTGATTCTTTACGATGTTGTAAGTTTGTGCAAGGCCGGATTTGAGGGAAGCCCCGCCGCCTTCTGAGAGGGCCTTCTCCCTCTCACCTCCCTTCCTTCGCTCGCCGCCGAGATGCCGCTGGTCGCCCCGGAGGGCCCTCGTCACCGCGGCTGGGCTCTCCTCGGGACTCTCGCCAGAAGGCGCCCCAGGAGAGCTCCAGGAATCGGCGGCAAGCGCAGAGGGGGAATGAGAAGGAGAAGGCCTTCTCAGAAGGCAGTGGGGCTTCTCAGAGGCCCTCTGGCCTTCCGAGTCGTGTTCTCGCCGTGTCCGCGGGGAAGGCTCGGAAGAAAGCCTCCTGGAAGGCCAGCGGGACTGCGGAGCCTGCAGAGACGACCCGCCCCCACCCCCACCCCTCACTTCCCCCTGTGGGCTGGCCGCCGAACCGAGGAGGCCCGGGCCCCCAACAAGAGGGGTCATCGGGGGGAGGGGGCCTTTGCTTCTCAGAAGGCGCGGGCCTTGTGTGCAGGTGTTAGGCCAGCGCCTTTCTTGGGGGGGGGGGGGGGGGCAGTGCACCCCTCGGAGTTCGAGGCTCGGTCCCCGAAGCTCGATATCCGGGTCTTTGGCGGGCATGCGGGACGGGGGTCCTCTGACGGCAACGGCGGGCCCGTACCCCGGGGACCCCCCAGGACCACTCAATCCCCCAAGCCCATACAGTGCCGTGCTTAATACATGCTCCGCTTGCGGATCATGTATTAAAGATGCAGAGATTTTCTATTAAAAGCAACGATGGGTTCATGCATAACTTTCTTCATATTGTAAATTAGTCATGTATAAAAAATCACATATATATATATATATAAAACATCCCATGCATTAAAAACTGCCCTGTAGGTCGTTGAGAGGAGGTATTGTTGGATTCCTTGCTTCCAATATGCTTTAAGCGCCTTCCTTTCTCAATGATCGAGTGGCTTCACCTTAGGGGGTGGGCGGACACACAATCTATTTTCAACGCCTTGCTACTTCATGTTTCTACCTACTTCTTCCGTCCGACGGGTAAGCGCTTCCATATGTTCTTCAGTCTGCACTCCCGCAACTGGAGTGCAGCACATGTTCAATAATGATGTTCCGGGTCTTCTGCTACCAGGGTGTAGCGTGACGGTCCTCTGGCCCGAGGAGGGCTTCGTCGGGGTCGGAAACGGTGGCAGACCTCCAGGACCCCTTTCCCGCAGGACCCATTCCCATCATGAGAGGCGTTCCATAAAAGGGCCTCGCCTGCGAGAAATCGGCAGGTCGACGTCTTCCCCTCGGCGGAAGTCTGGCGGACGACGGCGTAAGCAAAACGGGGCTGGCTCCGCCCGCGGAAGCCGGCGGAAGGCCCGCGGAAGTTGGCGGAAGCAGAAGGTGCGGCCCCCAAGAGACGGCTCCAGTGTTTGGGGATTCGCACTGCCTCTGGCACTGCCACATGCTGAGGATCGGACCCTCGATCCGGATCCGGATCGCAGCGCGGATCGGGCTCTTGCGCGCGCAGCGTCACGGGTCGGGCCCGCCAGGGCCTTGGTATCGCTCTGACGTGTGCATTTTTTTTTTTTCGGCGAGGACCCTTGATGACCATCCTGGACCATCGAGCAAAAAAAACACGCACGAAACCGAAACATGCACTGGAAATGGACGTCCGAGCGATGGGCAGGGGCAGGGCCGGCCGGCTCCAGAAGCGGCCATGTCCGCGTGCGGCGGGGTCGCGGCGTGCCGACGCGGCGGCGGCCCGAGCGCGCGCTCACGCCTGGCTGCCGACGGTGGCCCAGAATCTACCGAGGTCAGAAGCCCCCGAGAAGGAGCCTCCTCCTCCTCCCTCCTCCTCCTCCCAACTCCTCCTCCTCCTCCTCCTCCTCCTCCTCCTCCTCCTCCTCCTCCTCCTCCTCCTGCCGCGTGGCGCCATGGTTCCCCAAACGACGGGCGTTCCGGCCCTGCTCGGGGGCTTTTCCCCAGGCGCTGTGGCCCGCCGAGGTGGAGCGCTCCACGCGGTGTCGGAAAGCCAGCGCGCAAAGGGGGCACGGCCCGGGCTTGCCGTGTGACTCCTGGCCGCTCGGAGGTGCCTGCAGGAGTGATGGGATGCGCTCGGGGACTGTTCCGCCATGTAGAGATCTTGGGGCCAGATGAGCGACGCAACAAGAACGGGGTCGCATGCGCCGACGTCAGCGCGCAAGTTGCCCGCGCAAGTTCGCGCGTGAGCGCCCTCGTCTCCAGTGTGGCGTGCCGCGCCTGCGGTACGCGTAAGCTTCGGCGTGAGGGCGCTACGTTTAAGTCGGGCGTGTCCCCCTACAGGGGGATTTTCGAAATTAGTCAAAAAGTAGTCCAAACATAGTCTGGGGACTATTGTTTGAGTATTTTTCTACCTTTTCGGAGTATGTTTGGGGTATTTTTTATTTTTCATCGGAAATTCCCCTGTAGGGGGCCAGGCCCGACATAACGCTACGTCATGTCGCGTAAGACCTGTTTCTGATCGCCGCTCAGATGGTCAGCCACGCGCAGAGTGGGGTGGGGGGAGGGAGGAGGGCTTCTTAGCATCACCCCTGCTTCTTAGAAGGCGCGGGCCCTATCCATAGATGTAAGGCCAGCGCTTTCTAAGCAGCAGCCTGCTTCTAAGAAGCCCTCCCCCCTCCCCCCACCCCCGTGTGCGCGCCGCTCAGATGGGGCGCTCCAGCAAGGGCTCCGTCTTCGGCGCGCCCTGGCCCTCGGCGGCAGTCCCCGCGGGGGCCAGCGGCGGCAGAAGACCCGCGGGCGGCTCCGCCCGCGGAAGGCTGGCGGACTGGGCGGAGGCAGTGTTGTTTCGCAGGCCTAGAGGTTGACACCAGCACCAATTTCGGCGGTGTGCCTCCACCGAGGGAAGACGATCCCGATCTCGGTGATGGTGGTCATATTCTGGCTTCCAAGGTGACCGAAATATGACCACCAACACCGAAGTCTGGGATCACCTCCCCCCTGTGGAGGGAAACCCCCTGTGCTGGTGCTGGTGCTCGTTTCCAGGCCTCCAATCGTTGCATCTTCGGGGGACCTCACCTGTCCCAAACACTGGTGTCTTCTCGTGTGCCCGACGCGGGCTCGGTGCGGACGCGACGCGGACTTGGCGTGGATTCGAGGCGGATTCGGCACGCATTCGACAGGGATCCGACGAGTCCGACACGGATTCGGCACGGATTCGACGCGGATAGAGTCGCGATGGGAAAGACAAGGTCCCCCGAGGATGCACGATACGAGTAAACGCAAGACGTCAATATTTGGATTCGCCCCCCTCGACTCTCTCCCTCTCTCTCTGGCTCATCGGTTTCTGCCTGAGCCCCACAGTGGGGCGGCCGACTCCACGGTGAGCTGCTCGGCCCAGCCTTACCTCAATTGCTTCGGCCCCACCTTGGGGCGAATACGAGCCCCACCTTGGGGCGAATACGAGCCCCACCTTGGGGCGAATAGGAGCCCCACCTTCAGCCCTTCTGCCTGAGCCCCACCTTGGGGCGAATACGAGCTGCTCGGCCCAGCCTTACCCCAATCGCTTCGGCGCCATCCCTCGCCTCTTTCCGCGCTTGCTGTTTTCTTGCGCCACGCCTGCTCCTGAGGGGACCGCTCCGCCGGAGCCGGCACGCAGACTGGACTGAACCGAACAGCGTTTGGGGCTCGGGGTGTCTGAAGCTGGTCAGATGCAGAGGGCGATCGGGCGGATTCCCTAGCAGTGTTTGGGAATGATTCGCAGTTTTGCCTGTCTTGGGAGCTTCCGAGCTCTGGAGCACAGCTGCGCAGTACACAACACAGACAACAACCTCAGGCTCTTCAGTGAATATGTGCGATTCCCAGGGCATCCAAGACGGCCCAGGAGACTCCCAAGGGGTGTTCCAGGACAAGCTCCAGGAGCCATGCGGGTCCAGGCTGCAGGCGTGGGATCTCAGCCATGCCCTTGGATCTTTGCAGCATCCACGCGGTGAGCTCTGCAAAGGAGGGTCGCCCTGAAGACTTGGCTGAATGCTTCAATCTCAGGTGCGGGTGGCCATCGAGGATCTGATGACATTCCACTGCATGCCAAAGGCACTGGCTGTCATGCACGAGCTGTTGCGATTTGGCGTTTCTCGGCGCTGGCACCGATCAGCGATCGCAGCCGAGGCCACCACTTACGCTCGCTGGCAGGTTCCCGCCGCAGGCTGCAGTCGTCTCCCTGGACCAGACCCATCACAATCCCGAGCTGAACTTGTGGGCAGGGTAGTGACCAACATCCCTTCAGCGTAGCTGCGTGGGCGCATGTGTCGGTGATGTATGGGGGATCGCCGCTGTTGCGTCTCCATCACCACTGGGTTGTCTATGCTGATCTCCCCCCCAGCAATCATTCCCCGAACCAATCCAGTCCATCATTCACTTCTCTTGACCGTTCATGTCAGTTACACGTTGCGAGCCCTGGCAGGAGGGGGGGATTCAGTCGCTGGCGGGAGCCATGGATTGCATTGCCCCCCGCAGGAAGGTATTTGAGGCTCGGTTTGACTGAAATGCGTATGCAATTCCAAGGCGTGGACCCCGACAGTCTTTGCGTGCAGCGAGTGTGAAACTCTACGTGCGTGGAGCCCTCTGTGTGTAGAGCCCAAGTGTATGCAGGTATAAGCGTGCGGAGCCGTATGTGTGTGTATCTGTGTGCGTGTGTTTGCGTGTATGTCTGTGTGTGGACCCCTTCGTGTTGGGAACCCCATACTTCATATATGGACAGTCCCTCCCCCACACGCCATCACCCATTCTTACCAGCATTCACTTGTGACGGCGTTTCTCTTATCATGTTCCTTTCCTTCCTCTGCGTCTTTTCCTCTCCGTGACAGTTTCTCTACCAATCTCTCTTTCTCTCTCATTCCTTCTCTCTCTCTCTCTCTTTCTCTTTCTGCACATTTCCTTGTCAACTCCGACAGAGCTCCGGTTTCCGGAATCCTACACGCAGTGTGAAAACACAGTGTTCGCGACACCAGGAGTACCAAAGCTTTGTGTTTTCATTTGGATCGTTAGGATCTCCGGGATGAGAAATGAGGCAGCCCTATTTTTACATGTCAATGTTTCTGATTGTTGTGATTTTCTTCCCTCCATAGAAATCATCCGTCCCAGAGCCCAGGAGCTCTGATTCCCAGAATCCCACCAGAATCCCACCAGAATCCAGAACATCCAAATCAAAACACCAGGTGTGCGACGTCAGGGATGCGGAGATGCGGTGTTTTCGTTTGGATGTTCGAGGTTTCCAGGATGAGATGTGAGGAAACCATTTGTTTCGCTTGGACTTTTGTCGATTTGGGTGATGCGTTGTGCTCTGGAGATGTGGATGCCAGCGGGCGCATCCGAAAAGTCTAAGTGAAAACGCATGGTTTCCCAACTTCTCATCCCAACAAGCCTCAAACTTCCAAATTGAAACGCAGGGTTTCCGCAACCCTGACGTCACAACACTCGTGTTTTCATCGGGATGTTTCTGGGATTCTGGGAATCGGAGTTCCTGGGAAGGCTCCCGGGCTAGATTTTCGCTGGAGGGAGGAACATCACAAACATCACAAACATCAAATTGAAAACACATTTTTTTCGCTCATCCCAGAGATCTCCCAAATCCACATGAGAATAAAGAGTCGGGCCATCCTACGATCCAGGGGAGGAGGAAAAGAAGGAGGAGAAGGACCAGTGCAAACCCAACAGTCATCAACGATGCTGGAATACACCCTCCCTTCAAGCTTGCTCTTCATAGGCCCCTCGCAGTTTCTACAAGAATTCATTCCCACTGACTGAGGGAAGTGCCCCGTCGGGAGGAAACCGTGAACGCCACGAGTCAACCTGACGATTGCGTCTTGACGATCCTGAGTCGTGCCAGAACGCCATCCCCAGGATTTCAATGCTGCGAATTTGCGTAACCGTTGCGCCCTGGCAGTCCTGAGCCGCTCCAAAACACCATGTCTGGTACGTTGCATGGGAATACGTGAAACTCCTGCCAATGTTTGAACGAATGTGTGCGGCCTGTACCGCGCTGAGCCACACTTTGAAAAGGAAGCGCCCTCCATCTGTGAAACCCTTGCAACGTTTGAAAAACGAGTGTGAAAACGGCCTGCCCTATATTAGCACAGCTTCTACAAATGTTGAAGACGAGCGCGTGCGGTGCGAAGGCGAGAGCCACATATGGAACACCACCGATCCTCAACCAATGCACCTGTTGCAAATGTTGAAAACAAATGCACGCGGTGCTAAGGCGGGAGCCACATGTTGAAAACGGTCCGCCCTAAAGTAGTGACATGTATGCACATGTTTATAAGATGAGCGCGTGCGGCGCTATGGCGAGCGCCTTTTTTTGAAAACCACATGCCCCCAATCAAACAAATTGTTGCAAATGTTGAAAACGAACGTGCTCGGCGCTGAGGCGAGAGCCACGTTTTGAAATCGGCATGTTGGAGTACACCTTCCCTCCCAAGGATGGATGTCCACCGTGGGAAGTGCCTCGTTGGGAGGAAACCGTGAACGCCACGAGTCAACCTGACGATTGCGAATTGACGATCCTGAACCGTGCCAGAACACCATCCCTGGGACGTCAACACCGCGAATCAACGTAACCGTTGCGCCTCAAGTCTCCCTGTCTGCCTCTCCCTGTATCCCTTCCTCTCTCTCTCTCTTGTTCTCTCTCTCTCTCTCTCATTCATCATCGCTTCCTTTCTCTCTTTCTCTCTCTATCCCTCCATCTCTCTTTCTCTCTCCTTCTCGTTCACTCTGTCTGTATGCCTCTCTCTCTCTCTTTTCTCTCCCTCCTCATCTTCCTCCTCCTTGTCCTCCTTCTCTCGCCCAGAGGGCACACGGGAGGGACAGAGGGAGAGAGAGAGAGAGGGAGAGCGCCAGTGTGGGCCCGGAAACGAGAGAGTGGGAGAACGGTAGAGGCAGATTCAAGTGAACAGCGACCTTTGCGGCACGAGGGTTGCGAAGGAAGGCGGCGCCAGACCTTGTGGTGTCACTGGGACGTTTTTTGTATGGTATGCCTGGGAGGGGAGTCGCAGGAGCTCTGTGAGCTCGTTTGGTGGTCTGGGATCCTGGCAGCCTCCAGCAAAGAGAGAGGTCCACGCTGCAGCCCTCGGGCCCTGACTCTCAGATGTCCCCGGAATGCTGGACATCCAAACGAAGTCATACCGCATCGGTGGTGCTCACCCCAGAAGCCTCGAACACCCAAGAGACAGTGCGGGGTTTCGCGCTCCCTCCCTTTGCAAACCATGTGAATTCACACGGATCGCCTCGCTGCTGCCTCGTCTCTCTCTCTCTCTCTCTCTCTCTTTCTATATATGTATATATGTATCGCTCTCTCTCTCTCTCTCTCTTTCCGCCTCTGTCATTTGAAGAGGAGGAAGAGGAGGAGGAGGAGGCGAACAAACAGCGGATAATGGACGAGCATGCAGGATGAATGGGCGGGGATGGATGAAGAGCAGGAGGACGAACAGGAAGAGCACGAGTGGACTCGCAGCGCAACGACCGATGCAACATCGACGGGTGCTGGGGGGGGAGGGGACGCATCTGTTTCTCACCAAAGCTCAGGAAGAAATCCGAAGTGAAACGGAGACTCCCCCCCACCGGGAAACCGGTTTCGGTCTCGTGTTCGCGTCGCGCGTACGGGCGCGGCGAAGCTGCGCGGGCGGGGCCCAGGGGCGAGAACGGAGCTCCGTGGCTCTGCGCCCCTCCCCCTGTTGGCGGGCGGTGGCTCGGGGGGGTGTCCCGCCGGCGTCCCGCCGGTGTCCCCTGGCGCCGTGTCCCGCGGTGTTTCGTGATGTCCCGTGGTGTCCCGTGGCGCGGTGTCCTGTGGTGTCCCGCGACTTCCCGTGAGGTCGATCGCGAGATCAGTAGTGGGGTCGACCGACAAATTGATGATGAGATCATTCGTGAGGTCGATTGTGGCATCGATGGGTCACAGTGGGATCGACGGGCAGAAGGAGATCGATAGTGAGATCGATGGGTAGATCGAGAGTGATATCGACAGATGGATGGCCAACTGGTTTCCGCCGAATCCGATCCGACCCCAATTGCACACCGAAAGTTGAACTCCACCCCCTCACACCGTCCTCACCCGAAGAGTGCTCGTATAGGTATCTATTTGGGTTTATTTCGATGTGTGGCTTTTCGCGTGTGGGCCGCTGCGTGAGTAACCTGATGCGTGCGGAGCGCACCCGAATCCACCACGCCCACGTCCCGGCCCAGGCCCCCACGCCTCAGCCCGCGCCCGGATCGCATCCGTGCTCGCGCTGAACGCGACGTCCAGGCCCCACGTCCCGGCCGATGTCAGGTCCAAGCCCATACACGAATCCACGTTTATGTCGGGCGTGTCCCCCTAATTACAGGGGGATTTTCGATGGAATTTAAACGTACCCCAAAAATAATCCGAAAATGCAAAACAAATATTGAAAAAATAACCCCCAGACTATTTTTTTGTTATTTCAAGGGTATTTTTCATTTTTCTTCCAAAATCCCCCTGTAGGGGGACAGGCCCGACTTAAATCCACGTTCAAACCCACGTCCAGATCCGCGTCCAAAAAGGGCCAATTCCGCCGAAGAAGGCCACGGCGTTCGGGAGAGGCCTGGCCCCGCTGGCCGGGGCCTGGTCTCGGCAGCGCGGGCGAGGAGCGTCTCGAGGTGCGAGCGCTGCTTGGGGACGGAGAGCTCCAGAGGAAGGGGACGCCGTGGTCGTAAGGCTTACGTTGATTCGATCGATCCGGGCCGAGGTCGTCTTCGGCTGGCCCGATTCGAGCCGATTCCGATATTCCGACAATCAGATGCCTGCTGCTTGCATGGTGTTGCATTGCATCTTGGCGCAGCCGATCCGAGTCGATTTCGATCCCGTCCCGATGTAGCACGTTCCGGCGCGCATTCCGATCCGACCCTGTAGTTTGATTCGATGTTGATTGATCTTGCGTAGCTTCCGCGGCATGACGGCAGCCAGCAGAACGCATGTGTTCTCAGGTGTGCAAATTTCGTCGTCTCTGTTGCCAGCGTTGTGGTCTCAGGAGCCATGTCTTCACGTTTCGAGCGTGTCTTCATGTCACGGTGGTGCCCGCGTGTGTCATTGTTTGGGCAGTCACAACCCCGCGGGGGGCCTCCTAGGCACCACCTGGGAGGGGTTTGAAGGGGCTGTCTTGAGAGTCTCGGTGCCCACGCCTTGCCGTCTTGGAGCCATCGTGGTCCGCCTGGGGCTGGGCCTTCCCAGACATACAGGGGAGGCCAGTCCACGAGAGACCCTCCACACGAAACCCAACCCTGAGACCCCGGGACGTCCATGGAGTGTCGGTGCGGGAGCGTCACGCTTTCCATCGCCAGACCATCGAGACCAAAGAAACCCCAGGGCACCCTGGAGGCAAGCAGGGCGTCTCGTGGCATGGGCAGCCCCACTGTGCGATGGTGGCGACTGCCTTGTTGGACCCGGGCCCCTGGACGTCGCGACCCTCTCCGCCTGCAGGGCCAGTGCTCCTTCCCCCGGGGAGATTCTCGGGCGCCTGGGAGCCCGGGGACTCACGCAGTGGCGAGGCGTCCCGGCGTGCCTAGAGGCCCACCAGACAATGCTCTATGAACCTGCTGTGGTTTCCACTCAAGGTTCTTCGAGCATTTCTGGCTGGGACTGTCTTGTTTAAACGCATCGGGCTTATGTCCTTATGATTAGAAACTGTTGGGGTTCGAAGAACATTGCGTGTAGGCCTACGGGAATGCCGGGACGGTCGGTCCCTGCTCGACGAGGACGGCTCCCGGGGGCCAGGACCGACGAAGAGCCTCCTCCACCTCGATAACCGAGCACCCTGGATAATAGAGCATACCCCCCCTCTTAACTCGGGGGTGGACAGACGTCCTACCCTTACACGTCGATTAAGGAATGGGCCGTTATCGGTTCGCGAGAGGGCGTCGCGGCCGTTATTTTTGCGGGTCCAGGTCCGTCGGTTTCGGTCCTAGGTCGTTTTCGCGAAAGGGAGGTTTACTAAAGGGAGGTTTGTCCACCGCCGATTAACCCTTGAGAGCTGATTCTCCCGGGCCAAGACAGAGCTAGTCGGGGAAAGAAGGGGCGGCGAGGCCGATTTTCACTACCGCAGGGGACGGTACGAATCGGAGTTGCTATCCTCGCATCTTGAGGGCGCAGGACGTCTGGGCTGGGGCCAGCTCCACCATCCCGAGACGCGTTTGCCGACCCCGAGGTCTGGGATGGGCGGGCGCGCCCCCTCTCCCTCTCGCGTCCCTCGGATCCTTGACCCCTTCGAGCCCAGACCATCCCGACGGGTGGTCTGGGCACGTGCTGCCTCCGGGAGCCCCCGCTGGGCCCCATGCAGGCTTTGTGGGCCCCGGAAACGGCAGGGCCGTTTTTTCACCGTTTCCAAAAACGTGTCCCTTGAAAACGGAAACGGCAAAATATCGGCGACCGGAAACGGCAAACAAACGGCTCGAGCCAGGATTGGAACCGGAGCCGGAACCGGTCAAAAAACGGCGACGGAACCGGTAAAACAACGGCGTCGGAACCGGCAAAAAAACGGCAAAACGGAACCGGTAAAAACACGGCCCTGTCGTTTCCAGGGCCCATTAAGGCCCCGGGGGCCGTCAAACAACGATTCAGGGTGGAGAGCCTGTCAGGGGGAGGGGGTCGAGGCCTCTAGGCCTCTGGGGCTCGACGCGAAAGAAGCAGGGCGGCGGGGCTCTGGTCTGGAGCCCGCAGGCTCCACGCGTGAGGTGCCCTGCGGCGAAGTGCTGCACGCTCTTCAGGAGGGGAAAAAAACACACAGACACAATTAATCGTCCATTCCCTGGAAAATATTGGAAAATATGGGAAGTGGGGGGGAAGGCAAAGACCCAGAAGATATGGGAAAATATGGGATATGGGGGGTCATTTTATTTGTGTGTATTTATATATATATATATGTGTGTGTGTGTGTGTGTGTCCAAGTTCCCCTTCATCCTCCTCCATCAGCGCTGGTGTGCAATTGACCGCCAAAGGTTTTCAGTTTTGGTCCTCCCCCCCTTTCCTCTCGGGGGTGAATAGGACTGGTCCTGAAATCTGATCCTCCTCCGTCTCCTCCTCCTGCTCCTTGTAGTCGTAGTCGCAATCGTAGTCGTAGCAGTCGTCGTCGTTGTTGCGCGGCGGGTGTCGCGAAACAAATATTTTGTCACCCCCTACTGGTGTGACCCCAGTCTTTCGATAAGGCCACCGAGCAAAAAATCAGTTGCCCCCTAGTGGGGGGGGGGTCTGAAGACCTTTCAAGGTTAGCTCTGCCGCGTTCCGGCTGTTGCTGCCTAGCGCTTCGTGCATTCACGTCGTCGTCGCCCAAGCCGATCCACCTTTTCCGCCTCTGGAGGCTGGTCTCCGGCCCCGGAACCGCAAACCATCTTGCGACGGCCTTACGGCCGGCGGCGCCGACCCTGAAGACGACGAAGGTGAAAACGAGCGGGGGCGGGGGCTGGATGCGGAGGAGGAGGAGGAGGAGTGGGGGGGGAAGAGGAAGGGTGGAGGAGGCGGATGAGGGAGGAGGGGGGGGAGGATGAGGAGGAGGAGCAGGAGGAGGAGGAGGATGTGTGGGGGAGCAGCGAGAGGAATGCGGAGGGGGAGGAGGAGAAGGAGGAGGAGGAGCAGGAGGAGGAGGAGGAGGAGGAGGAGGAGGAGTGGGGGAGCAGCGAGAGGAAGCGAGTAGGAGCAACCAATTCTGGAGGCCTCAGCTCTCGACGGAAATGGGAAGGAGAGGGACAAAACCTTTCCGAAAATCAATGAGCATGGCCTCTCCGGGCCTACTTGAGAGTCCTTGTGGGGCTCTTTTGACCCGTCTGAGGGCCCCCTTTGGTCGTCCTTAGGCGTTTTTGGGCTGTCTTGTGGGGCTTTTGCCGTCTATGGGCGTTCTTGCAGATCCGTCGTGGCGAACCCCCCCCTCCTCCGGCGCATCTACGGAGGGCCCTTCCGTGACAGCCGCAAACGGGGGATGGTATTTTGACCCGGGACCCTCCCCCCAGAATCCCCCCCGGGACCCTTCCCCCCCCCCTGGCGGGCAAGGGATCAAAGGTAGGGGGCTGCCATTCGACTCAATGACAACGTTGTTAATTTCGCTTTGGCTGGATTGCTTCATTTCGCTTTGGCTGGCGCGCTTGAGGACGAGGGCCCAGGGAAAGAGGGTGGAGCGGCGACGGGCCCAGAAAAGAAGACGACGAGTACGTACGAGGACAACCACGACGAACAACGCATTCCACACGCCGACAGGGTCGGCGGATGTTCTGCATGAATAGTCAGCTCCCGCGGAGAGGTCACCAGATCCCCCAAGGCCCATGTCGAGAAGCAGATCCACCGTCGGAGGAGAGGGTTCGGTCAAAGTGCGCTGACCCCGTTCAGATCCACCGATCGCACGCAGCCTGCGCCGGCCCTAATGACTTGCATCGCCTGCAGCGTATTGAAAGACTTCGATTGTCGAGCCTTGGCGCTGACATGCGCTCTGAGGAGGAAGCCGCGCTCGCGGAGGAGGGCGGGAGGAGCTTGAGTCATGCATGCCACTTGTGAAGATCCGAGCGTCGCTTTTTTGTGCACATCTGGCGTGGTCGCCCGCGGGACGATCGGCTCGAGAAATGTCCCAGGATCTGCAGGGGGCCATCTAGATGCGCCCCAGGACGGCCGAACGAAGAACACAATGATCAGTGATTGGTGGCCCCACTTCCCGCCCAGTCACTCACTCTCAGCCCAGTCCCTTTCCTTTACATGCCTCGCAGCAGAGGTCGGCAACGGAGGAGAGAGAAGGGGAGGGAGGAGGCGGAGGAGGCGGAGGAGGCGGAGGAGGAGAAGGGAGGGCCCAAGCAGTTGCTTCTGAGCTCCGCCTGGATCTCCTGGGAGAGCGCTGGGCGGGGCCCGGCGCGCTCCGCGGGCCAGGACAGGGGCATGTGGGCGGCGGGGGGCGAGCGCCGACCCCAGGAAGCCCCGCGCGGCTTTCCGCAAGCTGGCGCCTGCGTGTGCCGCGTTTTTTTTTTGCGCGCTTCGAGTAGGCCCTAGGCGGACAGAAGAAGAGGACGGCGACAGCCCCCTTCGCCCCCTGGGCTCCTGCGGCCATGCGGCCGCTCCGCCCCCAGACATGCGACGTCGTGTTTGTTTGGTTTTATTTCATACGCGGTACCCAGGAAAGTCCCGACCCTTTCCCCGGGGCAGGTGTTTCATCCTGAGTCGTTGTCCGACGGTCCCGAGGCTTGGCGAGGGCCCCCCCTGAGGTCGAACACATAGCGAAAAGCCGCCCGTCCGGGTCGTGACTTCTGTTCCATATAAAAAAGAGTTGCTCCGAAAAAGTCCTGACCCTTTCCCCGGGGCAGGTGTTTCATCCTGACTCGTTGTCTGACGGTCCTGCGGCCTCGAACATAGCATAGCGGAAAGCCTCCCGTCCGGATTTGTTCCAGACGGGGGCGTGTGCGGGCCTTCCTCCCGCAGGTGGGCCGAGTTCAACAACGGCGTGGCCACCGCGCTGCAGGTCCGCACGGCGCTCGGTCCAGAGATCACCCGCGGCTGGATCCTGCACCACCGGTCCGAGGCGGCTCTCCTGGGAGGAGGAGGAGGAGGAGGAGGAGGAGGAGGAGGAGGAGGAGGAGGAGGAGGAGGAGGAGGAGGAGGAGGAGGAGGAGGAGGAGGAGGAGGAGGAGGAGGAGGGGAGGAGGAGAGAAGGGGGGGAGAGGAGGGAGGAGGAGAGGCGGAGGAGGGAGGAGGAGGAGGAGGAGGAGGAGGAGGAGGAGGAGAGGAGGAGGGGGAGGGGGGAGAGGGAGGAGGAGGAGGAGGAGGAGGAGGAGGAGGAGGAGAGAGGAGGGAGGAGGAGGAGGAGGAGGGAGGAGGGGGGAAGGAGAAGGGGGGGGAGGAGGAGGAGAGGAGGAGGAGGGGGAGGAGGAGGAGGAGGAGGAGAGGAGGAGGAGGAGGAGGAGGGATCAGGCGGAGGGGGAGGAGGAGGAGGAGTAGGAGGAGGAGGAGGAGGAGGAGGAGGAGGAGGAGGAGGGGGAGGAGGAGGCGGAGGAGGGGGAGGGGAAGAGAGGAGGAGGGTCGAGGAAGAGATGGAGAAGGAGTAAGAGGAGGTGGAGGAGGAGGAGGAGGAGGAGGAGGAGGAGGAGGAGGAGGAGGAGGGAGGGGAGAGGAGGAGGGAAGGAGGGGGAGGAGGAGGAGGAGGAGGAGGAGGAGGAGGAGGAGGAGGAGGAGGAGGAGGAGGAGGGGGAGGGGGAGGGGGAGGAGGAGGAGGAGGGGGAGGAGGAGGGGGAGGAGGAGGGGGAGGAGAAGGAGGGGAAGGAGGAGGCGGAGGCGCCTGCCCTCGGGGCAAGAGGGCAGATGCCCTGCACAACCCGACGTCCCGTCAGTATCGGCTGCGCGCACGAGGGAACACGCGGAGCATTCAGAGAAGGAAAACATTCTCAGCGTTCATTCCTAATTCTTCGAAAGTTCTTTGATTTTTGTGGGGGCCAAGATCCTCTCACTTCTAATTCTTCTATCCTGGGCCTCGTCCTGGCCCCGAGGGGGCCAGGAACGAGGAGAAGCGAGCACCATTAGAAATGAGCACGATTAGAAATGAACGACGTGTACCCATACCTCCACCCTTCCCTCGTTTTCCCCTTTTTGGGACTCCTGGGAGGCCCTCGTCGCCACCGCTGGATTCGCCTCGAAATCCTGGTCAGGACGCACCCCGGGCGAGGTCTGGGGAGTAACGGTATCGTTACCTTTTTGTTTCCCCAAGCATGGAGGAGAAGATGGCGGGCAGGGGGACGATATTCTGCGCCGAAGTCGGCTCAGTGGACGGTGCTCTTGTTGGTCGCTTTTGGTTTCTCCCGGGAGCGCTGCCAGCCCAGATCCTGAAGCCCGCTCAACTCAGAATGGGGGACAGCACCGCCGTCCGCCGCACTCATTGTCTTCATAACGCTACCCTTCTCTCGTGCTCGCCCTCTTGGGCCTCCTGGGAGGCCCTCGTCGCCACCGCTGGATACGCCTCGAATCCAGGTCAGAATGCACCCCATGAGAGGTCCAGGGACTAGCGGTACCGGTACTGTCGGTATCCCCAAGAATCATACAGGGAGGATGCCTTCCGCCCCTCTCAGGGGGAGCCGCGTTCCCAGCGGCGAGAGGTCTACACTCCAGGCGATGCTTAAGAAAACTTCAGTTTTCGGCCAGACTCTCGATTATTCTTAATGTTTCAATGTAAATCCTAAGATTTGAATAGACATTCTGGGTTTGTATTCAAATTCTGAGACTACGAATTTCTTAACCCATGATTTCTAAAGCATTTCGCAGGGTGTACTGTTCTCCCCCCTGGGCACTGTGACACCCGGCCGGCCTTTCAGCTCGTGCTGCTTGCTAGGATCCGTGCGATGTCGAGAGAGGCGCGGCTCCAGAGCAACCTTGGGCCGCTCCGGAATTCCATCGCTCCCCGGACCCGCATTTGGGAGGCGGCGGCACCCGGGGCAGACGCCCATATACTCTGGACGCCCGAACTGGGTACGGAAAGAATGGGTACGATGCCCAACAGCAGTTCCTGTTCATTTTGAACAGGACTCGCTGTCCGCGCCGCCGCGGCCTGTGTCCATTCGAGACAGAATGCCGCTTGCCCAACAGCGGCCGCTGTTGGGCAAGCGGCCCAACATCGGAGTAACCGAATCATCAGGGGTAACTCGGGTCAGGGCTAACTCGGGTTCCTTTCTCGGGAACCCGAGCCCGAGTTACCCCGGACCCGAGCTACCCCGAATAATTCGGGCGCCCAGAGCCCCGAATCATCAGGGGTAACTCGGGTCAGGGCTAACTCGGGTTCCTTTTTCGGGAACCCGAGCCCGAGTTACCCACGACCCGAGCTACCCCGGATCATTCGGGCGTCCAGAGCCCCGAGTTTGTTTTTCGGGAACCCGAGCCCGAGTTACCCCGGACCCGAGCTGCCCCGGATAATTCGGGCGCTCAACATATACCGACGCTGCGCTGCGAGCGCGCCCTGGTCCCGTCGGAGGTTCGGTCCGAGGAGGCGTGGCGTCCGGTGCCGTCGTCTCCGCCGCTGCGGGCGCGGGCGCTGCCCGCGCGGCGTTGCAGCCCAGCGGTCCGTTGTCGCGGTGTGTTCGGTCAGGGCTCCCAGAAGTCCCCCGCCTTTTCCCTGGGCTGGCGTTTCGCCCTGAGTCGGTGCTGGCACGTCACCGCTGGTGGGTTCGTTCGGGTCTGCTCACCGCCTGACCATGTTTGCCCCCCCCCGACGTCCTCGCACTCCTCTCCTTCCTCCTGCTGGTGCTCTTCTCTCTGACTCCCGTGGGCATTTGCGCTCGAGGGCCCCATGCACTTCGCAAAACCGTGCGTTCCCAGACACGCATTCCTGCACTGCTCGCAGCCTACCAGTCTATAAGTTACCTTGCCAGGGGCAGAGCGCGAGCCGCAGCGGAGACGTCCAGTTGCCTGCGGCAAACCCCGCCACCCTGCCGCGTTGCATCATCGGAGCGCATTGAGTGCATGTATGTTGAGCCTCTCAAGTTTGATGAGCAGAGTAAGCGTCGAGCAACAGAAAGTACAGCAGCATAACAAGGCATGTCGAATTCGTTGTGTCGAGACGCGTTGTTTCCTGATTGAGCTTTGCAGGTCCCTTGAAACAACAGAAACTGTAAGACTTCGTGTCGGTTTTTCTGGGACTTAGCCACAGAGCACGATGGGCATATGGACCCGCACTTGGACGGCCTTGGCAACGGTACCAGGATGCAGCGCCGGGGCGTTGCCGCGTTGGTGCACCGTTGCTGTGTTGCTTCTTGGAGTGTGGACCCGAAGCGTCTTGTCGGCAAAGGTCCGGCATCCTTCTCCAAGGTACAGTGCCGTTTTTAATACATGCTCCGCGTGCAGATCATGTATTCAAAATGCAGGGATTAGTATTGAAAACAACGATGAGCTCATGCATAAATGTACTCATACATCAATCATGGTAGGGCTCTCATTATGGCTTCCCGTTTATGGTGTTGGTTTTCTTTTGCATGGTCTGCCTTCTGGTCGTGCCGTGTGCGCATTGCTCTACAGCGTTTTCTGTGCATGTTGATTATGCTGTCTGCCACCAGGGTGTAATTTTGGAAGCTCCTCGGAGGCCCACGTGGGGCTTCCTGGGGGTCTCTCAGGGCCCTTTTAGGGGCTGCCTATTGGTGGCCTGCTCGGTTCCTTGGGGGAGCCCTGGAGCGCTCCTGGAGCAGCTCAGGATGTGCAAATGGGGTGCTGGCTTGGCGGGTCGTTGGGGGCCACCTCGGTGGCCTCCCGGGCGGTCTTGGGACGCTTGAAGCCCTGAGATGTTCGGGGGCGGCAAAGAGGGGGGTGATGACTAGGGGGGGTGGGTATCATGGCGTTGGCCATGATATCCCCCCAGATCTCATGGTTCCTCTTCTTATTTTATTGCGTCCCTGGCCCCCCCTTGGGCCGCGCACATGCCGCCGGTCATGATTTGCGCCCCCCCCCTCTTGGACGCCCCCCTCTTGGCCGCCCCCGAGATGTCCCAAGACTGCCCCGACGAGACTCCAGAACCTCTGTGGGCTCTCGGGGGTGTTCCGCCCGCAGGTTGGCTGGCCTGCGGCCGCTGGGTCTAGATCCAGGGCGTGTTCATGGAAGGGTGGCGAAAGAGGGTTCGAGCCACCCCTGAGTTCTGAGTGTGTGCGTGCGTGCGCTTCGAAGAGGGTCCCTAGAAGATTGCAGAGCCAGGCACTTTGGCGCGCCTCCAGCGTGCCGAGGGCACGGTGCGGGCTTGTGCCCTCTCCCCATCCGTTGAGATAGTGTGCCTTTTTATGGTATCGGCACGATGGCGGCTGGAAGGCGCCTCGTGTTCTCGTGCCTGACGTGGTCGATCGCAGCGGTCTCTCACCAGCTGCCCCCTCTGATGTTCGACAACACCAGGGAGCCCCCGGACGGCCTGTCGGAGTCCGGCCTCAGAAGGCAGGCGCGCGAGGCGGAGATCATCGCCGACCACACCTGGGAGGTCCCGGATATCGACGTGACCCAGTTCCACCAGGTGGCCCAGATCGGTGGCCTGTCGGGCGACGAAGCGGACAGGCTCATGGACGCGATCCGCACGGCAGCCGCCGAGATGGGAACCTTCATAGTGACGGTGACGGACGGCGGCATGCTCGACATGGCCCTGAACATGATCCACAGCTTGGACACGGCTCCCTGTCATGCCCCTCGCCTCGTCATCGGCCTGGGGGCGAACCTGTGCCCCACGTTCGCGAGCCTCAACCTGACCACCTGCGTGGAGGTGTTCGAGGACTCAGCGGGTTCGGAGGACGAGGTGGCCTGGGGGTCCCACGAGTATTGGCAGGTGGTCTTCCGAAAGCACGTCGTGCTCACGCTTGTTGGCATGAGCCAGATGGCGAGGCACGTGATCTACACCGACCCCGACATCGTGTTCCTCGGCTCCCCCGTGACCTACTTCGACACCGAACAGTCGTACGACATCATATTCTCGCCCAACAACATGCTGGACCCGAACGCCACGAGGGTGGACGACGTCGCCGACACGTACGAGACTCGCGGGATGGAGAACATCCTGCTCGGGCCGCACAACCGCCGAGCCGACATTAATACTGGCCTGTTCCAGATGAAGTCCAACAAAAACGTCGCCGACCTGATGCTGAAGACCATGGAGATCTTCCGGGACCAGGAGTTCGTGCACGGTCACTACCAGCAGTACTCTTTGGTAAAGGCTTTAGACGAGTTGCCTGACGTGAAGGTCGGCGTCGCCGCGGGCGACAAGCTCGTGAACGGCAACGTCTTCTGGGGTCACCGCGAGCTTTTGTCGGAAGACGGCGTGATCTCGATCCATGCCAACTGGATGCCGTGCCAGCTCAAGATCCCATGCCTCAAGGAAGCGAACCTCTGGGTGGACCCCGCCAACCCGCAGCGGCTGACCTTCGTGCCCAAGCGGATGGTCGCCAGGATGGACTACCGCGTTGCCACCGTGGAGGCCTGCGGCGAGGCCGCGGCGCTGGAGCCGCCCACGATCCCCGAGAAGGCCAAGTCGACCACGCAGGCGCCGCCCCGGCCGACCGTGCCTGGCTGCTACCTCTGGCTGCCCAAGGTCCCTGAGGGCTTGATGACTTCTCGCCAATCGACTCTCCTCCTCCTCCTCCTCCTCCTCCTCCTCCTCCTCCTCCTGCTCCTCCTCGAGATAGATCCAGGTAGATGTAGACAAATCCAGGCAGATGCAGATGCATCGAGGCAAATCCGGGCAAATCCAGGTAAATCCAGAGACCCTCAGGGACAGCTGGAGCGAATGGCGGCCGCTCTTTCGCGCGAGTCGAAGGACGGCAGGAGTCGTGAAGCCTTTCGACGACAAGGGCTGCCCGCAGCACAACTTCCACGCCCAGGACCAGTGGCGCAAGACGGAGGCGTCGAGGGACCGCCCCCAGTGCACGAGCGAGGCTCGAGGAGCACAAAATTTTGTCGGCACGTCCCTCCACAGGAGGAATCTTCAAACATAATCAAAAAAGCCGACAGGGGACGATGTTTCTGATGTTTTTGATTATTCTGGGGCATTTTTGTTTGAGTTGTCTTGATGTTTCCTCCAACATCCGCCTGTAGGGCGAACGTGCCATGTCCGACCTAACACAAAACGGCATCACCATAAACTTCCGGGCTCCGCGCGGATTTCTTGGATAGTGCCTCTGGCCCCCCTGGCGCGCTCCGCGCGCCAGGGAGGGGGCCCAGCGCCGATCCGCGCGGAACTCCGAGAGGTTATGCTATGTGTTTCCTTCTGCTGAAAGGTGAAGGAGCTCTTCCAGTCGTGGTGCGGCACCAGCCAGGTGGAGATGCTGTACATCGCGCCTCCGCCGGCGGACGCCCCCCCTGAGCCCACAGCGCCGGGGTGTTACGTCTGGATGCCGGGCGGCTGCGAGAAGCAGCGCTTCCACGCCCAGTCGGCCTGGAGGCAGACGACCTCCTTTACCGACCAGGACTCCGCGGTGGGCACCTACACCCAGACCCACTGGCGTCTTGAACACAAGCCACAGCGGAAGTTGTTTTGTTTTTGTTCGGCCTCTCGGGTCCTCGCTGGGCCCCATGACCATCAAACAGTTACTGAGCATGAAGAGTTGGGCCTTGGGGAAGGGTCGATACCTCTGGGGATCGACGCCGTGAATCGAATCAGTACGTCGGGGATCTGCGACCGCCGCACACGAGGTAGGAGAACGTCCGCAGTTTTTGGCGGTAGTATCGTACGCTTCGTGTTTGGGCCCTCTACCTTGGAGGACTCTTCGCTTGGTGTGACTCCACGAGGCATCTTGGGCCTTCGACGCAGGGGCTCGTGGTCTTGACCTGCGTACCTGTGGCACGATTCGACTGTGCTCCGCCCGACCGGGGCCATCCGGGGCCCGAGAATGGTTCAGACCGCCGAGTATGAGTACGCCCAAGACGGGTTGGGGAGCGGGTCCGACAACATGGTTTTGGTTCTTTTCCCAAATGAAGTAAGGCATCGAGTGGCCTTCGGCCCATCCTGCCACCGTGCCTAGGTTGTGGGTCAGAGTTGCCAGGGATGCCTCTTGTGGCTGCATGAGCCTTGAGGCACTCCACGGATTGCTGCAGGCACGGCAACATGGCCCCCGCTCTCTTCCGAAAACAATTCAGATATTACAAGGCAGTGCAGTCGGGGCCCTGAAGAAGGAACCCTTTTGGTTGGGGAGGGGCTCCGCGTTCCTTAAGTGTTTCACAGCTTGCCTCGGGTTTTCCTTATGTTTTCTATCGGAAATCGAAGTTTAACTTACGGGAAGGGGCCTCGTTCCTTATTTAGGGTTCCTTAGGTCAACGCCCCGACTGTAGTGGTCACCCAGATGCACGCGACAAACAAGACGTGGGAATATGAGTGGCGTGGCGGGTAGCATGGGTCTCTGGCCGTTGACAAAAACGGGCGCCAACACATGCATGGTTGTTGGAGGGCGGCCTGACGCTCACTAACAGAGTACCAGCTGCAGCAACAAGTAGGAAGGAGCCGGAGAGTCTGTCTGTCAGGAAGAGCGGGCACCAACACAACAACGACAGATGCTAAAACACATGATGGCCTGAAGGTTCAGGAAGTGCCACGAGATCTATGAACATCTTCAGGCGGTCCTGAGTAATCCACCAACATCCTCAGGACATCCAGAGGAAGCCATTGAAATTCTTAACGCTTCGCGTGTCCCCACTAGCTGCTGCTTTTAGGCTTGCTTGACCCTTGCGACGGCGCGCGGCTCTACCGCTTGCGCTCGCGAACAACAAGTATCCCCACTAGCCCTTCCAGAAACGATGCATGAGAGTAGACGGGGGGAGAGAGGAAGAGACACGCATAGTCAAACAGCGAGGGAGGCCAGCCTGGACGGCGTGTTGGGGCCATCTCCGGGCCCGCGTTGGCTTCTTGGCGGCCTCCTGGGGAGGCCCCGTGGCCGTCTCGAGCCGTCTTGAAGCGGTCTTGTTGGGACCTCTTTGAGCATCTTGGGGGCCATCTTGAGCCAGCCTGGGCTATCTTGAGCCATCTTGGAGGTCTTCTTGGGCTCTCTGAGGCCGCTCGTGGGCCTCTTGGGGGCCTCTCGGGGGCCTCTTGGAGCCCTCTTGGGGCCTCTTGGGGCGCTCGTTGGACCCTCTTGGAGGCCTCTAGGGGGCCCTGGAGGGCCTCTGGGGCCATCTTGGAGGCGGTCGGTCAAAAGAGGGGGGTCCTCGATGTTCGTCCCCCCCTCGGGGGCCACAATCCTCATGAGGGGTGTCAAAAGTTGGCCCTCCCACTGGCCGAAAAAGGAGCCTCCGACACCTCGCGAAACCTCCAACAAAAAACCTCAGGGAGGGGAGGGGGGGGTTCCCCTCCACGAAGGGAAGAGGGGTTGTGGAAGAAAGAAGAGACCACCCTTGGACCACCTGTCGCCCAAAGGGCTGGTGGGATTCTGATGCTAACCTAGGAGGTCCTCAGGACTCCGTGGGAAATCAATGGGGGTCCACACGAGTCAAAGGACAGGCTAAGGAACCCTTTCTTCCTCCTCTTACCTCCTCCTCCTCCTCCGTGTTGTCATCGTCGATATCGTTGTCGTTGTCGTGTTCGTCGGCGTCGTCGTCGTGATCGTCGTGGTTGTCGTCCTCGTCTTCGCAGTCATCTTAGATTTCGTCGTCCTCCCCATCGTCAGCGTCCTTGTCCTCCTCGTCGTAGTCTTTGTCTTCTTCGTCTCCATCTTCCTGTCGTCGTCTTCGTCGTCGCCCTCGTCCCGATCGTCGCCGTCGTCGTCAGCGTCCTCGTCGATGGCATCATCGTCGTCCGATTACATGTTCTCCTTCTCCTCCTTCTCCTCCGTCTCCTTCTCCTCCTCCTCTTGTTCCATATCCTCAGCATCTTCATCCCGCTCCTTGTCGTCGTTTTGCTGTCATCGTCGATTTTAGCTGTCGCCGTTGTCGTTCTCGGCGTTCTCGTTCTCGTCATCGGTGCCGCGGTCGACGACACCGTCGTCGTGGGCTTCGCCGCCGTGGTTGCTGTCGCTCTCGTCGTCGTCGTCGCTGGTGCCCTTGTCTCTGCCGTTATCAGTATTGTTCTCGTCGTTGCTCTCGTCGTCGTCGTTGTCGTGTACTCGTCGTCGTTTTCGTCGTTGCCGTTGTTATCGTCGTCGTCGTCCAGGTCATCCCGCTCGGCCCGCCTGGGATGCCCGCCTTACCCGCCTTTTTAGTGTCATGAGTATTCGTCGCCGTCGTCGCCCTCATCGTCGTTTTCCGTTTCGCCCGCGTTGTCGTCCTCGTCGGCGTCGCCTGGATCGTTGTTGTCGGCGTCCTCCTCGTCGTCGTCCTCGTCAACCTCGTCGGCGTGGTCGTCTTCGTCGTCGCCCCTCGCCCTCGGGGTCGCCCTCGTCGTCGCCGCCCTCGTAAGCAGACGTGCTGCTGGGCGGAATGCGCACTGCTGGCACGTTCCGCTCGGTCTGAAGCGCCCGACCCGCCGCCCCCCTCGTCATCGCACTCGTGGATGCCCAGCTTGGTGGACTTCATCCTTACCGAACAAAACAAACATACTCAAGCATACAAACCCAAACATAGATTCTGTAAGGAAACATGCGCAAAGATAGCCAAACAATGCTCGGAAAAACGCCCCCAGGCAATTGATTTGACTAGTTTTGAATTTTCCTCCTGCAGAGGGACCTTAGCCCAACTTCCCGCCCACCCCGACCCGCCCGTCGGGGCCAGCCCGCCCGACCTGCCGTGCCCGCCGGGGGCCGCCCGCCCGACCCGCCCGCCGGGACCCGCTCCGCCCCGCCCCGCTCGCTCGGGTCGGCGTGGCCGTGAATGTCGCCCTCGCTGTCGTCGCTGTCGCCTCCGTCGTCGACGGCGGCGTCCTCGTCGTCGTCGCTCGCGTCGCCGTCGTCGGTGCTGTCGGCCTCGTCGTCGTCGTCGTGGCCGTCGTCGTCGTCGTCGTCGTCGTCGTCGTCGTCGTCCCGTTCGTCGTCGCCCTCGTCGTCGTCGCCCTCGTCGTCGTCGCCCTCGTCGCCCTCGTCACTCTGCTGGATGTCCCGCTGCATGGCTGGATGTCCCGCTGCATGGGCTTGCAGACCAGTTTGGTTTCCCGCCCGGCCCTGTTTACCCGCCCGGCCCGTCTACAAGTGTGCGCTCGCGCGACACGCCCGACCCGATTGTCAGGGTCCCCCGCGCGACCCACCCGTTAGGCCCGTTAGGGTGCGTCGCCAACCGACGTTGCAGTCGTGGCAGTCATCGTCGTCCTCGTCGGTCAGGTCATCAACGTCCTCGTCGCCCTCCTCGTCGTTCTCGCCGTCGTCGTCTTCGTCGTCCTCGTCCCCGTGGTCGTCGTTGTCTCCGTCGTCGTTGTCGTCGTCGTCCTCGTCGGGGTGGTCGTCGCCGTCATTTCATCATCGCCGTCGCTATTTTCGTCGGATTCGTAGTCGTCGCCGTCGTCGTCGTCATTGTCGTTGTCGTTGTCGCTGGCGTAGTTGCCGTCATCGTCGCGTCGTCGTCGTCATCATTGTTAGCGTCCTCGCCGTTCTCGTCGTCGTCTTCGTCATCGTCGTCGACATCCTCGCCAGTGTCGTCGATGGCCAAGTCGTCGCTCTCGTCATCGTCGGATTTCTCGTCGTAGTCTTCGTTGTCCCCGTCGTCGTCGTCGTCGTCGTCGCCGTCATTGTCCTCGTCGGCGCCGGTTGCGAGGTATCCCCCCGCTGTCGTATGTGGCGAGTCGGGTGCACCCCTCACAAGGATCGTGGCCCCATAGGGAGCTCCACCGAAGGCCAAATTGCCAGCGCGCGCATGTTGGCGGACTCCTCAAACGTATCGAGGCCCCATACGGAGCTCCACCGAGGGCCCCAGTGGCTGCGTTCGCATGGCACCACGCTCATTTCGGTACACCCCTCAAACATTTCACGGCCCCATAGGGAGCTCCACCGAGGGCCCAAGTCGCTGCGCTCGCACGGCGCCACCGCACCCATGTTGGCACACCCCTCCCGAAAATCGTGGCCCAACGGATATGGAACTCCACCGAGTGCCGTAGTGGCTGCGCTCTCAGAGCCTCACCTCGCCCATTTTGACGCACCCCTCATCCGTTTCGTGGCCCCAAAAGAAGCCCCACCGAAAGCGTAACGCGGTATTCACAACTGCGTATGGTCGACCCCGTTTGCCAGGGTACTGTTTGTTCCGCCCCCTGCGTTGCCACGTGACGAGAGTGGAATCGTATCTGTTCCACTTCCTGTGTTGTCACATTGGGGTAGAGTCGAATAATTGATTTCCCTCCCCCCATGCGTTGCCACTCGGCGAGTCCAGTGGAATAGTTCTCTGAACAGCTTGTTTCTAAGGATTATCTCAATGTAGTTAGTGGATTGCCGGATCTGGAATCGGTGGAACGACGTTATCTTCTGTTGTTTTCCGCTCTCTCATGTTGTTTCCCGTTGTCTTCTGTTGTCTCTTTTTTTCCCCGTTGTCCCCCGATGTCTTCCGTTGCCTACTGTTGTCGCCCGTTCTCTCCCGTTGCCTCCTGTTCTGTCCCGTTGTCTCACGTTGCCTGCCGTTGCCTCTCGTAGCCGTAGTAGGACGCTCAGTACCAGCAGTAGGATTACCACTCGCAGTTATACAAGTAATAGACGTACTGAGTAGTAAATCGTAGTAGTAATAGTAGTAGTAGAAGAAGAAGAAGTAGAAGTAGAAGTAGTGGTAGTATTAATAGTCGAAGTACTAGTAGTAGTAGTAGTAGTAGTAGTAGTAGTCGTCGTCGTCGTCGTCGTCGTCGTCGTCGTCGTCGTCGTCGTCGTCGTCGTCGTCGTCGTCGTCGTCGCAGTAGTAGTAGTAGTAGTAGTAGTGATAATAGCAGTAGTAGCAGTCGTAGTAGTAGCAGTAGTACTAGCAGTAGTAGTAGTAGTAGTAGTAGTAGTAGTAGTAGTAGCAGTAGTAGTAGTAGTAGTAGCCTTAGTCGTGGTAGTAGTAGTAGTAGTAGTAGAAGAAGAAGTAGTAGTAGTCGTCGCCGTCTCCGAACTAGTACTAGTACTTGTCCTAGCCCTAGTACTAGCACTAGTACTAGTACTACTACTAGTACTACTGGTAGTGGTAGTGTGGTGGTATTAGTCGTAGTCGTAGCAGTGCTAGTAGTAGTCGTCGTCGTAGTAGTAGTAGTAGTAGTAGTCGTAGTAGTAGTAGTAGTCGTAGTAGTCGTAGTAGTAGTAGTAGTAGTAGTAGTAGTAGTAGTAGTCGTAGTCGTAGTCGTAGTCGTAGTCGTAGTAGTAGTAGTAGTAGTAGTAGTAGCAGTAGTAGTAGTAGTAGTAGTAGTAGTTGGTGTTGTTGTTGGTGTTGTTGTTGTTGTTGTCGTTAGTAGTGGTAGTCATATCATTAGAAGCAGAAGTATTCGCAGTAGTAACAAGATTAGCAGTACTAGACGTAGCCGTAGTAATCGCAGTAGTAGTAGTAGTAGTAGCAGCAGTAGCAGCAGCTGTAGTGGTAGGAGCAGGAGTAGTCGCAATCGTAGTCGTAGCCATAGTCGTAGTAATAGGCATTGTAGTAGTTGGCATAACAGTAGTAATCGCATCGCAGTAGTAGTAGTCGTCGTCGTCGTCGTAATAGTAGTTGTAGTTGTAGTGGTAGTAGTGGTTGTAGTAGTAGTGGTCGTCGTAGTCGTAGAAATCGTAGACGTCGTAGTAGCTTACGTAGTACGGACCAGGATGTGGGCTGCCAGGCCCTGTGGAAAGCTGAGTGTGTTCTGTTGCCGCAAATGTGTAATGTTCCTTCCGCCGTCCTGCATTGCCACGGGGCGTGTGAAAGAGAAGAGATTGTTCTTCGCCACTTCCTGGGGTTGCTATGTGGCAAGTCGAATTTACAACCTTTGACTGTCGACGGTTTTCACGCAGCCGTCTAATAGTTCATGGCGGATTCCAATGGTTTCGTCGCGAATCTTTAGGGACCCGCACGCATGTACGAAGTATTGTGAATCCATGTTGGTTTCTTAAGTGTTCCTTCGGATTTGCTGGTGTTTCTCATGGTGTCGCTAGATTTCCTGAGGATCCGTTACACTTGCCGACGGATTCCCTTAAATTCCTCTGCGGTTGTTCTGGATTCAGAAAGATTTCGACGCTTTGCGGCGGGCCACTCGCCACCCCCCAACAAATAGCGGATACAACACAGAAGTAAGTTTCGACAGTTGGGCGGTCCATCCAGACACGACGACAAGCCGATCGCACACCCAGTGAAAAATGAAACGTGCAAGCCACAGTTTTGGTACAGCAAACATTGCAGTGTAAACAGTCACGCGGAATGACAAAGGAACATAGTGCACACCACACATACGCACCGGGTACAAAACATAAGCAATATAAGCCCAACTCAAAACACTAACGTTAAGCACACTCAGCGGCAACAGTACATAAATCAAGCCCATTATGACATAGGGTGGCCCAGCTACAGATGCATCTGCAACACCAGCTAACGATGAAAGACAACAACAGTCTCTGGGTACCGCTTACGATTTTGTGATATGGGGTCTGATTTTGTTAATTTTGAATTTGGGTTTCTATAGCACTCTCCGGGCTCTGTCCTGGGAGTTTGTCGTCGGCTCCCGTTCCAGACCCCTCCCAGGCTTCATCATGGGCAGTTTTCTCCTTGGAACGATTTCTGACGGTCCCGGATCTCGACACGGGTTCCCAGAGGTCGACAATGCACACATGTTGTTCGAACATGGAGTTTCTGGAACTCGAGCATCGATGCTTGTCCTGTGGAAAGGACTCGTGCATCGACAAGGCACCCGAGAAGTACAACAGGTGGTGCGACGCCAGGGACTCCTTAGCGCTGTGGGTGGCGGCCGCGCCAGATCCGCCCCAAGAACCCGGCTGTTACGCCTGGTTCCCCACGGGCTGCAAGTTGAACCCGTTGTCTTCCAACCTCATCGGCGGCGTGCACAGAGGGAGGGCTGGGCAATCGGCACGAAGGAGTCGAGGGTCGAGATTTGTTGTTGTTGGTTTGCTGTTTTTTGCGAGTTTGGCCTCCTGGGGCGTCTTCGGCACCACAGCTGGATCTTTTTCAAATTTCTGGTAAAAACGCGCCCCGTGACAGGTCGAGGGGTCGATCCTTGAACTCCCTCTCAATCTGGATCAGCATGAAGAGAAAAGGGGTCCTGCAGTAAGGCGTCTTTGAGGTCTCTCGCCGATTTCGGCTCCACGGGGCCTTCCCTGGGGGATCAGGGCCGCCAAAAGGCAGGCAGTTTGTTTTCCCCCTGTCCCAAGTGAGGTTCTTGTTTTCTCGGGACGCCGCGCGAAGGAGCCCACCCACACCCACACGCACGCACACGCCTCACCGTCACAGTGTGACAGATGCCATCACAATCATTGCCACCATCAGCATCGACATCATCAGCACCATTACCAGCATCGTCATCGTACGATCACGATCACCGTCCTCATGACCAGTGACCATCGCCATCGCCATCGCCATCACACGCAATCACACGCCAACGCATACTCCTGCAGGAAGTCTCGAGCGGCGGCCTTGTCACCGAGTGAGTTGCGAGGAAGTCTCGAGCGGGAGCCCCCTCCCTATGGGCACTCCAGATCATGTTACGGTGGGGGCTTTGGTGAAGCAGCGTGCATGGGAGGCTTCAGACCTTGGAGGGTTCCTTATCTGATGAGGGCGGCGTTAGTATCCACTGCCAATCCGCGATTGGAGTTCCACTGGCTTCCAGACCCTGTATTCCTTATCCAATACTTCCTTATCCAATGCCCCCACCGTGCGAATCCGAGCGATTCATTCGAATCCTGAAGCCGTAGTCGGTGCTGCACTCTTGAGGCAAGAGCATGGAGGAAGGCTCGAGCTGGAGAGCCTCCTCCCCGAGCGACTGTTCAGGGAGTCTCGAGGGGCAGCCCCCTCCCTACGGGCCCGCCGGATCATGCTGCACACTGTTCATGTCTAAGTCTTCGAACGTTCTTTGCTTTGGTGGGGGGCTGCGCTCCTTTCATTTCTAGGTGTTCTATCCTTGGCCTCTTCCTGGCTACCTAGGGGGCCAGGAGCAATTAGAAGCGAGCACTATTGGAAATGAGCACGATCAGAAATGAGCGATGTGTACGAATCCAAGCGGGAAATCAAACTCTTGGAATTGTCGTCAGTCTTGAGCTCCCGAGTCTTGAATATGGAGGAAGTCTCGAACGGTAGCGTCGTCTCTGAGTGAAGTGCGAGGAAGTATCAGCGAGCGTTCCATCCTTATGAGCCCCCCAGATCATGTTACGAATCCGAGCGGGTCATCCAAATTCTGTAACCGTCCTCGTCTTCATTTTTTGAGGCATTGATGTGGTTCCTGAGGTATGGATCTGAAGGAAGTTTCGAGCGGGAACCTCCTCCCTGAGAAGATTCGGAGGAAGTCTCTGGCAGGATCCCCCTTCCGTATGGGGCCGCCAGATTACGTTTCTTATCCGAGCGGGGCATCCCAATCTTGCTCATGTCGTTACTCTTCAGCTCCTGAGGCCTGAGTAAAGGGCGAGGAAGTCTTTAGCGGGCGCCCACTCCCTACGGGTCCCCCAGATCATGTTACGAATTCGAGCGGGTCGTCCTAGTGCTGTAACCGTCCTCATGTTGATTTCCTGAGGCATCAACGTGGCTCCTGAGTTCTGGGTATGAAGGAAGACTCGAGCAGGAATCTCCTCCCCGAGAAGATTCGCAGGAAGTCTTTGGAAGGATCCCCTCAGTATGGGGCCGGAAGATCGCCGAGCGGGGCATCCAAAGTTTGCACCTGTCGTCTCTCTTGAGCTCCTGAGGCCTGTGATCTGGAGGACGTCTTGAGCGGGAACCTCGTCTCTGAGTGAAAGGCGAGGAATTCTCCAGCGGGCGACACCTCCCTATGGGTCCCCCAGATCATTTCACGAATCCGAGCGGGTCGTCCAAATCTTGCAACCGTCGTCAATTCTGGTGTGAATATGGAGGAGGTCTTGAGCGGTCGTCCCGCCCGTGAGGGAATTGCGAAGAAGCTTCGAGCGGGACCCCCGTTTAATAGGGCCGCCAGGTCACCGTTCTGATCCGAACGGGTGTAATGGTCGTCAGTATTGGGCGCTTTCGCAACAAATCCCAAGGTCATCCAGGCCGGGGGCTTCGCTTCTGAGTCAACGGGGAGGAAGTCTCGAGCTGGAGTCCTGCCACGGGGGGGCCGCCAGGTTGCGTTATCAATCACTCCGAGCTGGTCCTCCAAATGTTGTGATTATCGTCGCGTTTGGGCTCCGGAGGCTTGAATCCTAGTGAACGTCTCGAGCGGGCACCTCGTGCCTGAATGGTCTTGATGAAGTCCCGAGCGAGGTACTGTCCGTGAGGGGAGTGCGACGGCGGCGGGGACGGCCCCCCCCCCCCCATGGGGCCCACATGTCATGGGAGCAGCCCGAGGGGCCTTGGAGCTCTGGTCCGTCTGGGAGAAGGCGTTCACCTCGGACAGTCACGGCGTTCTGGACCGTCGACACCAGCACGAGGAATGTCGGCTCGGCCACGGCATGGGTGGATCAATACGACGCGCGCTCGTCGCGACGCGCGGCGTCTGGGCGTGCAGTTCGTTTTCTTGCAGGCCGCGGAGCAGTGCGATCCAGAAGCAGGCCGGCGCCCCCTGAACGTCCCGAAATTGCACGCGACGGTGTACATCCACGGCGTGTTACCGGCACGAGTCGTCATGGAGTTTCGGTTCGCGGACGTGCAGGAGGGGATGAACAAGACGCTGGGTTCGCGCAGGAGCAACGGGTCACCAGCGTGCCCTTCGAGATTCACCCCGAGGACGAGCAGCGGCACGACGAGCGCGCGCCAGGCCTTAGTGGGCCTTGGAAACGACAGGGCAGTGTTTGTACCGGTTCCGTTTTGCCGTTTTTTTGCTGGTTCCGACGCCGTTTTTTAACCGGGTCCGTCGCAGTTTTTTGACCTTTTCCGGCTCTGGCTCCAATCCTGGAACTGTTTTTTTGCCGTTTCCGGTCGCCGTTTTTTTCGCCGTCTCCACTTTCAGGGTACATTTTTTGGAAACGGTGAAAAAATGGCCTTGCCGTTTCCGGGGCCCACAAAGCGCCAGGCCAGCTCTTTCGCCTCGCGTTCTGCCGCAGGGAATCTAGATGCAGGGGCGCGGCTTCAGGCAGTTCCCGCTCTACCACGAGGTCGCCGAGCTGCTGCGATAGAGCGCCGAAGGCTCTGGCGACGACGGCCAGGCCGAGGTGCGGGCGCGGAACTCACGTGGCGGAGCTCGAGATCGCACGGTGCGCGCCGATCGGGATTCACCATGGCGCAAGCGTCCTATGTGACTTCCACGCTACCGCCGGGCCAGACGTTGCGCCAGGGCGGAACCATCGACGGCGCGAGGGACGAGGACGCTGGCCGCGCGGGCGTGTCCGACGACCAGCGACGGCTGCATCTCTACGTCATGTTCTCTCGCGCCACGCGCGCGCAGGACACGTCGATCCCGCAGCCGCCCCCGCGAGAGTTTCTGGGGCGAGTGCCGCCGGCTGCCTTGCGGAAGGTGCTCCTTGAGTCCGACAAGACATCGAAGAACACCAGGGCAGATGCGGAGCAGCTCGCGGCAGGGCCAGCTTTCGCGTCGCCTCCCGCCTGAGCACGGCGGCGCCCCGCTCGAAGCCCGCGGGGTTGCCCCAACGGCGTCGCGATTTGGCCGCCGGATAACGCGCCCCTGCCGGCCGAGGCGGCAGCGGCGCCGAGGAACATCGAAATGCGCGCCCACGCAAAGAGGAGCGGGAGGGACGCCGGAGGGACGAAAATTCAGGAGGACGAATGAAGCTGCAAAGCAGAGGTTTGGAGGAAGGCTTCCGCCCGGGCGAGAAGAAGAGAGGCGCGCGGGAGACCAGAGAGAGTTTCCGCAATCACGGGGGCGACGATGAGGATCTGTTTCGGACGAGTTCGGGATATGTTGCATGCAGTGCCCCACCGTCGGAGTAATTGATTATCTCTCTCTCTCGTTCTCTCGTTCTCTCTCTCTTTCTCTCTCTATCCCTCTCTCTCCCTCTTTCTCTTTGTTTCTCTCTATCTCTCTCTTTTTCTCTCTCTCTCTCTCTCCGTCTCTTAATGTACTATCTATCCTTGTCTTTTTCCATGTATATATATATATGGATATGCATACATGCATATATATACATGTATATATGTATATATGTATGTATGTATGTATGTATGTATGTATGTATGTATGTATGTATGTTTGTATGTATGTATGTATGTGTACATATATGTGTGTATGTATGTATGTTTGTATGTATGTATATATATATACATATATATTTGTATGTGTGTAAATATGTACATATGTATATATATATATATATATATATACACACACACGCACACACCGGGGAACGGGGCCTGGGGCCGCCAGATTGGAGCCTCGGACACCCATGGGGGCCACGGGGTTCCAGGACGCCCCCGGAGGCCCGAACCTCGACCACAAATGAGGGGCCTGGGGCCCGGGCCCGCCTCTGGGAGGGCTGAAATCGCCGTCGGGACTCAGACAGCCGTCCCGGCAGCCCTGGACGGTCTCGAGACGTTCCCCAGACCGCCTCCAGGCGTCTCCATCCGCCCACGGTACGTTTTAAACTAGCCAGGAAGCCCCCCCAAGACGTCCCAAGACGCTTCAAGATGCCGGCCTAAAGCGGCCCGAGAGGCCCAAATCGTTGATTGTCATTCGTTTTTTTTTTTTTTTTTATGTTTTTGGCATTCTCCCTGTTTCAGTTTTCCGACGCTCCAAGACCGCCCAATAGGCTCCCGAGACCGCTCGAAGACGGCCCCTGAGGCCCCCAAGAGAGCCCCAAGAGAGCCCCAAGACTGCCCAAGAGAGCCCCGAGACTGCCCCCAAGCTCGCCCAAGACGGCCCAAGAGAGCCCAAGAAGGCCCCAGGAGCCCTTGGACAGCCGTCCCGGCGGCCCCAGACGGTTTCGAGTCGCTCCGAAGAACGCCTCCAGGTGTCTCCAGCGGCCCGCGATGCATCTTAAGCTGCCGAGGACGCCCCCCAAGACGGCCCAAGAGGCGTGAAGATGCCGCCGACGAGCGGCCAGAGAGGCGAAAATCGCTGAGTTTCATGAGTATGTTCAATGTTTGTTGCTTCCTCGCTGTGTTGATTTCCCGACGCTCCAAACCCGCCGCAAAGGCCCCCCCAGACCGCTCCAAGACGGCCCAGGAGCCTCCAACAGAGCTCCTAGACGGCCCAAGAGAACCCCAAGACTGCCCCCAGACCCTCCCAAGACGGCCGAAGAGGGCCCGTAGAAGGCCGCAGGAGCCTTCGGACAGCCGTCCCGGCGGCCCCAGACGTTCTCGAGACGCTCCCAAGACCGCCTGCAGGTGTTTCCAGCGGCCCGCGATGCGTCTTAAGCTGCCGAGGACGCCCCCCAAGACGGCCCAAGAGGCGTGAAGATGCCGCCGACGAGCGGCCAGAGAGGCGAAAATCGATGATTTTCATAATTTTTCTATGTTTTTTGCTTCCTCGCTGTTTCGGCTTTCCGACGCTCCTAGACCGGCCCAGAGGCTCCCCAGACCGCTCCAAGACAGCCCAAGAGACCCCCAATGTAGGCCGAAGACGGCCCAAGAGAGCCTTGAGATTGTCCACAGGCCCGCCCAAGACAGCCCAGGAGAGCCCCACGAAGGCGCCAAAAGCGGCCCAAGAGAGGGAACACGCACCGAACAGTCGAGCTCTCCGCCCCAAGATGCCCCCAGGAAGCCCCCAGAGGCCCCGAAGATAGCCCAGAAGGTCACTAAGAGGCCCCCAAGAGGCACAAAAGAGGCTTCGAGAGGCCCCAAAACGGCTTCCAAGAGGCTTCAAAACTGCCTACCGAGGTCCCCCAAACATGCTCCGGAAACGCGCTGCCGGAGCACGTTGCCGCCTCTCCTTCCAGCGTTCGGTGCTAAATGGAGACTTCAGTGGACAACCGTGCACCCAAAGCTCCAGCCTTCTACCTCAAGAGGCCGCCAGGAGGCCCCACAAGGCCGCCCAGAAGCCCCCAAGGCGCTCCCAGGAGATCCCCTCAGAAGCGGTATCCAAAGGTTTTTGGGCCGTCTGCCGGCCACTCTGGGCGTATTCTGGTACGGCGCCTCTCGCACAACATGCTCCGGAAACGCGCTGCGGGAGCACGTTGCCGTCTCTCCTTTCATCGTATGCATGTATGAACGTATGTATGTGTTTAGTGTCCGTGTGTATTCATGCATGCATCCATGCATGCATGGATGTATGTATGTGTGCAGGTACATATACACACACGTATGTATGTATGTATGTATGTATGTATGTATGTAGGTATGTATGTATGTATATATATATATATATTATCATACGCACCTCTCCGAGGGAGTAGAGCTCAGAGGCGATTAATGCGCACGTCGTCCGCGATTTGTCTGGCCGTTTCGCTCGGGACATCCTCGAAATTCTGAAAATCGGTGGCACCCCTCACGCAGATCGTGACGTCAGGGTCCAAAAACACATGGGAATTTCAACATTTTAACATAAAACCTTCAAAAACACATGGTAATTTCAATAATTTTGACCCCGATTCTCAGAGAATGGCGGTTTCGCCTGAGACATCCTCCCAAAATCGAGCCCCAGACCCCTCCTCGGAGCCTCCTGGGGGCCTCCTGGAACCTCCTGGGGCCTCCTGGGGCTTTCTGGACCTTCTGGTACCCCAGACCCCGCCTCGGAGCCTCCTGGAGTTCTCCTGGGCCTGCTGAGGCCGCCTGGGGCCTCCTGGGGCCTCCTGGGGCTTCAGAACTACATGCACACACAGAGACACAAATCACGCCCAACACATCACACGCTAGACAAACATAACATACACACACAACACCGACAACACACAAAAAGCACGCACCACACAAAGCACACATCACACACACAACACTCACAATCCTGGGGCCTCCTGGAGCCTCTTCTGGTATCCAAGTCGGGCCTCCTGAGGCTTCCTGGGGGGCCCTGGTACACACATCGCAAGGTGTGGCAACCCCACTTGCGCTCGAGTGCGACTTCGCTGTTGCATGTCACTCCTGCTTCAAACGCCCCTTCAGCTTGTTGTATGAGCCTGGGCACACACGTGCCATTTGTATATATACATATACATATATATATATATACATATATATATAGATGTACATACATACATACATACATACATACGTACATACATGCATGCATGCATGCATGCATGCATACATACATACATACATACATACATACATATATATGTATATATATATATACACAAACATTCATACATGCGTACATATAACGTATTTGGTCCGGTTGCGTGCTTGCCACTTCCTGAACTCATGTTCACACGATCTGCGGGCCTTCCATACGTGCAGCTTTGACATTGTCCAAGGCTGGGCTTGGCTAGAACCTAAGCGCGCGCGAAGCGCGCGCGAAGGTTCTAGTATATGTGTGTGTATGTGTGTGTATCCGCCCTCGCCGTTGCGGGGCCATCAGGCTCCGCAGATCAGGCTTCTGCTCCCTCTTCCGGCTCCACTTTCCGGTCTCCGCTGTTAGGCTTCTGTGTCTTGCTCTTACTCTGAATGGTTGAAGTCCACGCGACGGGGGGGGAACCAATAAGGGCCGCGAGAGTCGTCGTTGGAGAATGTTTGGGTGGTCCTTGGACACGTAAAAATACAACATTCACGCCCCCGCAACCATGACCCCTTGCGAGTTACGTTGTACTCGCGCCCCCGAGGTCATAAACCTTTGAAAATTAACTTGCGTGGGCGTTCCCAATGCCATAAATCTTCGTCAACGTTGCTAGGTTTGCGTGTTCGAGGCAATATTTGTTTGTAATGTATGCGATATGTTCTTGGATATCTCAAGTGGCCTTTGTCCGGAGTTCGACGCTGCTTCACGACGGCGCCCAGGCCTCAAAACATAGCTTTTGCAGACCCTATTCTCCGAGAGACGGGGCCAGTGGCATGCGGCGAAGCTCTTACGGATACATGTTCTTGCAGTGTTGCATCCTTTCCACGGCGTGGCCGCCCCGGGATCTCGGGGCCTTCTGGGGGACGCTTCGCGGAAAACGCAGAAGACCCGGCAATCTCGATTTGTTCCACGATCGGGAGCCTTGAGACGGGGGTCAATGCAGACGGGGGTCAGCCAGGGCGCCAGATCCTGCAGGATCCTGCGAAGACCCCCTCTGGCTGACCCGGGTTAGCGAGCCGCTCGTGGCCGCGGGGCGGCCGCGCCTATTAGTCTGACCCGGGTTTGCGAAGCCATGCGCTGCAGTTTTGTTTTCTTGCGTTGCAGTTTTTGGTTTCCTGCTGACCCGGGTCTGGATTGACCCGGGTCAGAAGAGCCCCGACACGACGCCCGAATCTGATGGGGGCCTTCTCTCACGGGGCCGCCACCGTCGCGCCCACAGCATAAACGGGCGTTGGGCTGACGTCGATGGCGTCCAAGGCCTCTGAAGCCCGTTTTCAGAAGGCGCTCAAGCACCCATTTAGCCAAGCATGCTGCTTTGATGTGCCCTGGCGGCGGCCCCGTATTGTTGACGTCGATGCTCCATCCTGGCCCCCTCCCTGCGCGCCGCCAGCAGCGCACGCTGGATCCGCGACGGCTGGGGCGAGAAGTACGCGGGGGCCGGCGCCGACAAAGCCGTGTGTACGGAGGTGCGTAAGGCTCCGCAGTAGATCGCTCGCCCCATGAGAAAAGAAGGGAATACCACAACCGCTGGGCTGAGAAAGCCGCCCTTGACTTTGCATTGCTCGGACGCGTGCACTTTTCCTCGGCGCGGGCCATCGAGGCGTCTCTTGGATCACCCTGCGCAGCAAAATAACGCACGAGTCCAACAAACATATGGAATGACGATCGTTTTCTTAATGGTTGTTTTTTTCCGATCGGCGCGGGTCCTCGGACCCCCCCTCCCCCCCCTCCATGGAGTAGATCTTGGCTGTTTTTGGCGCCTGTTTCGAGCAGGTGGAGCCTCCCCCGCAGGACGCACTGCTGCAAACCGTCGCCCTGAGCAGAGGTCCAGAGCGAGACCCCCCCTCCCTCCGCCCAGTGTCGAAGCGCCAGATAAGGAAACGCTCGCATGGACACCCGAGCGATGGCAGATTGGCGATCTCCCCAAGACCGACTCCGACCCCCTGGCGGTGATGACCTGCGTGCGGCGCCCGGTTCCGGGCGACGCGCGCACGCCATCACCGCTGGAGGGCTAGGGTTAAGTCGGGCATGTCCCTGTACAGGAGGAAAATCCAAATATCGGAAAAATTATCCTGGCGAAAGACCCAACCATAAGCAATTGTTGGTAACGCGTTGTGGGTGCCGCTTTCGGTGGGGCTCCATATGGGACCACGAAGCGCTGCCTTGGATGGGGGAACCGCATGCGGACTGCGCCACCGGGGCGGGCCTTCGGTGGAGTTCCCTATGGGGCTACGAAACGCTGCCCTGGGTGGGGGAACCGCATGCGAACTGCGCCACTGGGGCCTTCGGTGGAGCTCCCTATGGGGCCACGAAACGCTGCCCTGGGTGGGGGAACCGCATGCGAACAGCCACTGGGGCCTTCGGTGGAGCTCCCTATGGGGCCACGAAACGCTGCCCTGGGTGGGGGAACCGCATGCGAACAGCCACTGGGGCCTTCGGTGGAGCTCCCTATGGGGCCACGAAACGCTGCCCTGGGTGGGGGAACCGCATGCGAACACCCCCACTGGGGCCTTCGGTGGAGCTCCCTATGGGGCTACGAAACGCTGCCCTGGGTGGGGGAACCGCATGCGAACACCCCCACTGGGGCCTTCGGTGGAGCTCCCTATGGGGCCACGAAACGCTGCCCTGGGTGGGGGAACCGCGACACCCCCACTGGGGCCTTCGGTGGAGCTCCCTATGCCCTGGGTGGGGGAACCGCATGCGAACACCCCCACTGGGGCCTTCGGTGGAGCTCCCTATGGGGCTACGAAACGCTGCCCTGGGTGGGGGAACCGCATGCGAACACCCCCACTGGGGCCTTCGGTGGAGCTCCCTATGGGGCCACGAAACGCTGCCCTGGGTGGGGGAACCGCATGCGAACACCCCCACTGGGGCCTTCGGTGGAGCTCCCTATGGGGCCACGAAACGCTGCCCTGGGTGGGGGAACCGCATGCGAACACCCCCACTGGGGCCTTCGGTGGAGCTCCCTATGGGGCTACGAAACGCTGCCCTGGGTGGGGGAACCGCATGCGAACACCCCCACTGGGGCCTTCGGTGGAGCTCCCTATGGGGCCACGAAACGCTGCCCTGGGTGGGGGAACCGCATGCGAACACCCCCACTGGGGCCTTCGGTGGAGCTCCCTATGGGGCTACGAAACGCTGCCCTGGGTGGGGGAACCGCATGCGAACACCCCCACTGGGGCCTTCGGTGGAGCTCCCTATGGGGCCACGAAACGCTGCCCTGGGTGGGGGAACCGCATGCGAACACCCCCACTGGGGCCTTCGGTGGAGCTCCCTATGGGGCCACGAAACGCTGCCCTGGGTGGGGGAACCGCATGCGAACACCCCCACTGGGGCCTTCGGTGGAGCTCCCTATGGGGCCACGAAACGCTGCCCTGGGTGGGGGAACCGCATGCGAACACCCCCACTGGGGCCTTCGGTGGAGCTCCCTATGGGGCTACGAAACGCTGCCCTGGGTGGGGGAACCGCATGCGAACACCCCCACTGGGGCCTTCGGTGGAGCTCCCTATGGGGCCACGAAACGCTGCCCTGGGTGGGGGAACCGCATGCGAACACCCCCACTGGGGCCTTCGGTGGAGCTCCCTATGGGGCACGAAACGCTGCCCTGGGTGGGGGAACCGCATGCGAACACCCCCACTGGGGCCTTCGGTGGAGCTCCCTATGGGGCTACGAAACGCGTGAGAGGTGTGCCGAGTGCAGAGGCAAGGAGGGGGAGGAGAGGAGGAGGAGGAGAGGACGCGGGCACCGTCTCTTCAAAACGAGGACCCAACACCACAGGATGGTTGGGAAATATGAGGACGATGTGTTGACTATGTTTGATCATTGTTGAGTATTGCTTGATTATCATTCATCTGTCGACGAGAATCCGCCTGTAGGTGGGCATGCCCGACCTGAGGCTAGGGTCGGTCTTGCGGGGATCGGCAGGGGCGGTTCCCTCAGTCACTCGATTGTTTCCCTCCTGGCTTGGCCACGCGCAGAGGGGGGTAGGGGGGGGAAGGTTTCTTGGAAGGAGGCTGTTTCTTAGCAGGTGCCGGCCCTACATCTTCAGAGAAGGACTGCGCTTTCGAAGAAACAGCTTCCTTCGAAGAAGCCTTCCTCCTCTCCCCCATACCCTCCTCTGCGCGCCGCCAGCTGACCTCCAGCGTATTGGAAAAATTAAGGCCGAATTTGTTCGACTGTTCTGGAAATCTTCGCCTGACCCTGGGACCGCCAAAGAGCGACGCAGGAAGACGAGATGGCCCTGGGGAAGGGTCAGGACTGCAGGGACCCCGTCCTGGCAAAAACAGCCGGACATTGGATCCCTACTCGGGGTCGGATGCGGTCGGGCCGCATCGCCGATGTACCAGCGGTGCGACGCGATCTGCAGGCCGATTTGTTTCAGCGCATTGCGATTTCATCGGCGGTGCGGTGCGATGCTCCGTGCCCGTCACCTTATTGTAGGTTCATGTCGCGTCGGTGCGGCAGCGACCCCAACATGGGCGTTCAAGGATGAAAACCAACAGTGGCTCCGAGTCGGCCGATGTCAAGCGATCTGCGCCATCGGAAGGCCGCGATCGCAATCGCTGAAGTTGAACCATCCAAGCCGGGGCAAATCCAACGCCGACGTCGTCACGAAAAGAACCTGCCGTACTCAGACCTCCGACGCTCCGACGCTGTGATTGTCACGACGTGGTTTCCTGGAGGTCTGAGTCTTCTCCCCGGGACCGGCCTTTCATCCTGAGTTGTTGTTTGACATGGGGCCCGGTGAGGGCCCCTGGAGGCCCAGAATTGCCCCAACCCCCCCATCGCGAATCTTTTGCGACAGCGAGAGGAGGCCCGGCGTACGTCATCATGCCTTGCAGCCCACCTGGGCGGCCTCCACAGGCTGCGATCGAGGAGTGGTGTGGCATCCAGAACGCCCAGATGGTCTTCGTGGACGACGGCCCGGGCTCCACGACGGCCGCGGAGGACGGCCGGGATGCGGCCCCAGGAGGCGAGGCGGCTGAGGCCGCCGACGCCGACGGCGGCGCCGAGGGCTCCGCCGACGGCACCGCCGGCGCCGACGGGGATGCCGCCCCCGGGCGCCTCCGAGGGGCCCCAGGCGCAGCGGAGGCGGGCGCGGCCCGCGCCCCTGGCGGCTGAGAGGCGGGCGCCGCGGCGCGCGGCCCCCCGCGGCGGCGGCCCGCGGAGGCGGCGGCGGCTGCACCGCCCCCCTCCTCGCTCGCGGAGGGGGCTCGTCGCGGCTCCCGCCGTCCATGACTGTCGCCTCGCGCGGGAGCGGCCACGTGGGGGGCCCTGCAGGAGCTGCCGGGATTTGCCAGGCGGGATCTGCACGGCACAGCCTCGGCGTGTGCTTCGGTGGCCCTGGCTGCCCGCCTTGCTCCCCACGGGTCGACTGGCGAAGATGAGTCGGCGAGCTCCTTTTTGGGGGCTCTCCTCGGACGGCGCGGCGCTCCTCCGCGGCCCGGGCCCCCCCCCCCCCCCCCGGGGGACCCGTGTGCACCCCTCTTCCTGCGGGGGCCTGTGCGTTCGCTCCGCTCGCTGGACGCCAGATGCTTCGGGTCGCGACCGAAGATCGGGCCGGACGAAAGGGGGGGATGGGGAAAGGCGGGGGTTACGAAATTTGCTGCATGCAGCTGGTTTCGGCCCCACCGAGTGGCCCATTCCTCGATACATAGCCGCCTCCGGCGCCGGGAGGCGCCGGGTAAATCAGCTGCGTGAGCTGATTCCCAAACCCCCCCTTTGCTATCCCCCCCTTTCGCCCGACCCGAGAAGAGATCGATCGCTACCGAGTTGCGTCAAACTCCACGCCGGTTCGCGTCGAAATCGGAGGCGGCCGAGTCGGAGTGCCGATCGGTCGTTGCCGATCGCGACCGAACATAAGCATGGCGTCCAGTGATCGGGGCGACATCCCGCGAGAGCTAACCAGACTCGCACGGATCCCAATCCGTAAGATGGGCAAGCCAAATAGCGATCACAATCTCAGGGACGAGCCCTCAGAAAAACCAAGGGAATCTTGAAGGTCGCCATCGAGGCAAGCTGATCTCAAACGTAGGGGTAGGGATAGGGATACGTTTCAAACTGGTCAAGAGTTATGATGTTGCAACCTACTTTGGCCTTGATCACCCGAGATGATTCCGAACACCAGGAAGGTATCGGAACTGGAGGGTTCTCACGTGTCGGGCGCTGAGAGGCGATACTCGTTTGACACCGTTTCGATACTTTTTTGGGGGTGCTCGAAAGTATTTCTGGGGTATGATCCTTGAGTGCGATGGGAACAACATAGGAGGTTGATGAGCAGCAGGAGCAAGAGGAGGAGGAGCAGCAGAAGCAAGAGGAGGAGGAGGAGGAGGAGGAGAAGGAGGAGGAGGAGGAGGAGGAGGAACCTGCTGCTCCCTAGAGCCCTAGAACCCTCAAGTCAAGAGCCGCTCCTGGACGGCCCCCAGCAGGGCCAGGGACGGGCCACGCCGCCCCGGAGGGGCTTGGCGCGTGGCAGAGCCGGCCCCGCCGCGGCGTCGCCGCTGCGACGCCCGCGCGCTGCGAGGGTCGGCCACGCGCAGAGGGGGGGGCACAGTCGACGTAGACTAGCAGGTTTGCGTCGGGCCGGTCCCTCAACAGGAGGGAGGTTCACAAGCAGTCCCAAAAAATAGTCGGGGGACGAATTTCCTTCTGTCTGAGCACTGTTCGGCTTTTTTTCATGCTTCGTCCAAGATGCGCCTGTAGGGGGCCATGCCCGACGCAATAGTGGGTCGACCCTGCCGAATCAAGGGTACCCTTGTGTCGTGTGTTTCGCGAACCATGCCTTCACATTCCTAAGTATTGACATGTGGCCCTCGGCAGGGTCTTGTGTCCTCTCGCGTGCCCTCTCCAATCAACCCCGACTGTAGGGGGAGGGGAAGGCTTCTTAGAAGGAGGCTGCCTCTCAGAAGCCCTGGGCCTTCGCTATGCATGCAAGGCCGGTGCCTTCTGTCGGGGGCGGCAAAGAGGGGGCTGATGACTAGGGGGGGGTGGATATCATGGCGGGGGCCATGCAATTTCCCAGATTTCATGGCGCCTCTTCTAATTTCATTACGTCCCTGGCCCGTCCGGTGGGCCGCGCACATGCCGCTGGTCATGATTTGCACCCCCCCCTCTTTGACGCCCCCCTCTTTGCCGCTCCCGATTCTGAGAAGCTGCGTTTTGTTCTTCCAGGTGAGGGCGTCGTGAACGAAGCACGGCTGTCGTTTCTGCACAGTGCTGGGCCCCAGGGCCTTCGGGGGTCGATCCCGCTCGGGGGATGCGCTCGAGTCTTCTGGCCGTGCTTTAGTCACGGCGCCGTGACTCATTCGAGACGCCAGGGGTAAAGCAACACTGGTTGCCCTGGCGGTGACAGGGAGTTCGCCGCATTTGCTTGTCGGGAGGTTGCTCCTCCTCCTCCTCCTCCTGCTCATGTTCACTTCGCTCCGGCCTCGAATGCTGGACCTCGTTAATTTCACAGGTGCTCGCCTGTCGTGATGGATAGCTCGTTTTCCAGGTGCTTCGCACGCGCCGTTGTGGAGGCATCTTGCTTTTCCTATCCCTCCCTCCAGTTCTTGCCTCCTCTGGATCGTCCCGCTTCTCACGTCGCTATGTTGCGTGCCTTGTGTTCTTGAGTGAGTAGGCCGCTTCGCCTACTCGCAGGTGGATTCGCCTGCCTGGTCGCTTCTGTGAAAACAGTATGTTCCGATACTGTCTGGCGATAAGGTCACCATCTTCTTCGTCACTTTCTGCGCATCCTCTCTTCCCCTCCCTGGAAGTTTCCAGACGCCTTCCGACACGTTTTACCTAACAGCGAAGACTGATAGGTTTCTAGTGGTCTCAAAAGAGCATCATGACTCCCCAGGGGGGTCTGGACAGATGCCGGACGGGTGCCGCGGAAATCTCGGGACTGCCGCGGGAATCCGGGAACTCCCCATTTTCATTGCCAGGAGCCACACTTTGACTGTTTGGGGCCAACAGAACACCACTACCAGGCCACATTTTGAATGCCCGGAGCCAACTGTAGGCCACTTCGTGTTCTTCGTGTTCCCCGAACATCGTTCCCAGGCCACATTTTGAATGCCCGGAGCCAACTGTAGGCCACTTCGTGTTCTTCGTTTTCCCAGAACACCATTCCCGCACCATATTTTGATTGCCCGGAGCCAACTGTAGACCACTTCGTGGTCTTCGTGTTCTTCGTGTCCCCAGAACACCATTCCCAGGCCACATTTTGAAAGCCCGGAGCCAACTGTAGGCCACTTCGTGTTCTTCTTGTTCCCAGAACACCATTCTTGCAGCATATTTTGATTGCCCGGAGCCAACTGTGGGCCACGTCGTGATCTTCGTGTTCCCAGAACACAAGTCCTGTGCCATATTTTGAATGCCCGAGCTGAGGCAGGCTGAGGCCGAGGCAGGCTGAGGCCGAGGCAGGCTGAGGCTGAGGCTGAGGCACGCCGAGGCAGGCTGAGGCTGAGGCTGAGGCAGGCTGAGGCTGAGGCAGGCGAGGCTGAGGCTGACGCAGGCTAAGGCCGAGGCAGGCTGAGGCTGAGGCTGAGGCAGGCTGAGGCTGAGGCAGGCTGAGGCTGAGGCTGAGGCAGGCTGAGGCTGAGGCTGAAGCCGAGGCAGGCTGAGGCTGAGGCCGAGGCAAGCCGAGGAGGCTGAGGCTGAGGCTGAGGCTGATGCTGAGGCAGGCTGAGGCTGAGACAGGCTGAGGCTGAGGCTGAGGCAGGCTGAGGCTGAGGCAGGCTGAGGCTGAGGCCGAGGCAGGCTCAGGCCGAGAGGCTGAGACTGAGGCTGAGGCTGAGGATGAGGCCGAGGCAGGCCGAAGCTGAGACAAGGTGAGGCTGAATGGGGGGGGGGGGGGAGGGGAGGCTGAGGCAGGCTGAGGCCGAGGCAGGCTGAGGCCGAGGCAGGCTGAGGCTGAGGCTGAGGCAGCCGAGGCAGGCTGAGGCTGAGGCTGAGGCAGGCTGAGGCTGAGGCAGGCTGAGGCTGAGGCTGACGCAGGCTGAGGCCGAGGCAGGCTGAGGCTGAGGCTGAGGCAAGCCGAGGCAGGCTGAGGCTGAGGCTGAGGCAGGCTGAGGCCGAGGCAAGCTGAGGCTGAGGCTGAGGCAAGCAAGCCGAGGCAGGCTGAGGCTGAGGCTGAGGCTGAGGCTGAGGCTGAGGCTGAGGCAGGCTGAGGCGGGCTGAGGCTGAGGCTGACGCAGGCTGAGGCCGAGGCAGGCTGAGGCTGAGGCTGAGGCAGGCTGAGGCTGAGGCCGAGGCAGGCTGAGGCTGAGGCTGAGGCAAGCTGAGGCCGAGGCAGGCTGAGGCTGAGGCTGAGGCAGGCTGAGGCTGAGGCCGAGGCAGGCTGAGGCTGAGGCTGAGGCAAGCCGAGGCAGGCTGAGGCTGAGGCTGGAACTGAGGCAGGTTGAGGCATCCATAGGAATCCCTAGGAATTCTTAGGAATCCGTAGGCATCCTTAGGAATCCGTAGGCATAGTTAAGCATCCTCAGGAATCCTTAGGAATCCTTAGGATTCCATTAGATCCTAAGGCCGTTGCCACTGCGACTGTCATTGCGACTGCGACTGCGACTGCGAGAACAGCATAATTCTACAACTGGATTCACACCTGAATCTTAAGGGGAATGCTTCCAGATATGCTTATACACATCGCTGTTAGGTTTCTTTGCTGGGGTAATCTGGAAACCTCCAAGCCCTTCTCCCCACCCTCCTCTCTACTCTCCTCTCAGCGAGGGCTTTTTGTTTTAAAAAATCTCCTGACCCTAATAACACCATGAATACGTGGCCTCACTTAGTTCCCCATCCTCGCATTAGGAAGATTACATCTGGGCGGCTTGGTCTGACACACCTGCAGAAAATACCCCTTGTCGCTATTTTGTCTGGCGGTCCTAACTTAGGTCCCCTTCCAAAGGGTTAGGGGTACTGGTAGAACTTATCATCCTCCACCTCCTCCCTGCATGTTGCCGCCGCCGCCCCAGCCCAAGAGCCTGCGGGGCCTGGGAAAGCTTCAGCGGGGATGCCCGAGGTGCCAGTGCGGCGCCCACTGGACATACACAGAGGTGCGCCTCTGCGACCAGAGCACACCGCAGCACATCGTAGACTCCGGTAGCAAGTCATGAGAGCCTGGCCGACCTCTTAATTCCGTCGCTCGCGTCGATTCGCGACTGGGAGTCGATGAGATAGCACCGAGTTAGCGTCGCTTAGAGTCGAGTGGCGTCGATTTAGCGTCGACTAGCGTGGATCAAGAGCCGACAACATGCTACGAGAGGCTCCCATGAATTGCCACCGAAGTACACCGCACAGCATTTGTTGCGTCGTTGCTGCGTCGCTGCGTCCTCAGCCGTGTTCGCTCGGTTCGGTTTCGGTCGGCTTCGCTGTCGCTGTCGGCTCGGTCGGCGTTCGGTCTGAGTGCCGCCGCGGACGGCCCCGACAGAGTTTTGGCCGAGGATCTCCAGCAGGTAACAAAGCCACCCCTGGACCACGGGTAGAGGCGGCAAGAGCGAAGGAAGCGCCGACACCGAGAGGAGGAGGAGGACGCTGCGGAGGCGGTGCCGAGCGAGCCGACGCCGTCCAGGCGCAGGAGCTGTCCTCGTGCCGGCCCTCCGCCAAGAGGATCGAGCTTCAGGACAGCAGCAAGCCCACCTTTGGCAGTGCGCAGAGTTCTGGGCGGCAGGGCAGGGCCCCCGGAGCTTCGCAGGGACCAGCTCGAGGGCTCTCGCGCGCAGGAGGACGCTGCGAAGGCGGTGCTTCGCCAAGAGGATCGAGCTTCAGGACAGCAGCAAGCCCATTTTGGCAGTGCGGAGAGCTCTGGGCGGCAGGGCAGGGCACCTGGGAGCTTCGCCAAGGGGCCAGCGCGAGGGCTCTCGCGCGCGCAGGTCGAGCAGCTGCGCCCCCGGCTGGTGCGGCGCCCGAGCAGGCCAGCCGGAAGTTTGAGGACAGCAAGGGCACCCGGGCCAGTGTCAGGAAGACCAAATTGCCCCCCATCCCCATCTCCTCCTCCTCCTCCTCCTCCTCCTCCTCCTCCTCCTCCTCCTCCTCTTTCTCATCCTCCTCCTCCTCCTTCTCCTCCTCCTCCGCCAGGTGGGCCAATATCGATCCCAAGGGTTCGTAACACACCACGTGAACAGTCGCAATGCAGGAGGCGAGCGGTGAACAGTGCTTGACCATCCAGTCGCACTGACCAGTGGATGTGGAGAGGATGACCCACCAGGGGCAGCTCATTTCATTGACGTATGCGGGAGGGGGCAAGCTGAGCTGCCCAGTGCTCGATTTCCAGGGTCGCTCTGACCAGAGCCGGGACGGGGGGCTTGAATTGAGGCATGCGGCAGGGGCAGCTCGCGAGGCAAAGCGTGCACCAAGATTCAGCTCTCAGCATTTGTCTCTCCCTGGCACGCGGGGAAGTTCTAATGGCAGCAGCTGCGAGGCTCGGACAGTACAGCTGCACATGCGTTGCCGAGGCTTCACGGAAGATGAGGTTCCGAGTCCAGGAGTGCACATCCACGGCATGCCCGCGAGGCGGGCCCTGGTCAGCGCGCGGTAGCCAGCGGGCGGGCGTTGGCGGCGAGGCCGGACGCCATCGTCGCCACG